AAAATACGGCACAACAATTGGCGCAATTCTAGATCACTAAGTTACTTGCAGTGCAAGTATAGATTAGGCGGTCATTGTACCGTGTAATACTTCCTGCGCAGTCAATAAAAACAAGCATCGAGCATATATGCAATGCTGTTGGCCTAAAACGGCTTAATGCGTGCGAATTACTGGTGGATCTGACATCACTGGACTGCACTTTTCTGCATGTTTGAGTTTGTTGCATTAGGGCGTAGGGCTCATGTGATGGGTTGGGGACGCGAGGGTCCAAAGTGCATTCCTTGAACAGTGCTGGATGCATTGCCCTTCCTTCCCTCTTCCTAAAGTTCACTTCACACTTCTACTCTTATTGCCCCATCGATCATAACTCATGAGCCATCAATGTAGATACATGTAGTAATAGGTAACTAGGACCACGAGGCCGATTTGCTCACCTGTTAAAGAACTCGGAAGAAACGAACCACCCATATTCTACATATTTTAGCAAACCCCGATTACTACCTAGAAAAAAGTTTTTTAGATGAGAGATATTTTCAACTTACTTGGTCTTGGTTACTTAAAAATGGATGGCCACATATAAGGTAACACAGACAAGAACTTCCAAGAAAACCTGACCCTGGCGACATATTGAATACGAACGAACGATAGTATCAACACGAAGAATTCGTTCAATATATCCGCTTTCGGAATCGGAAGGGACAGCGCATATGGGCACTGCGCTTCAGTACTTCAAGCCAACTACCCACAAGTTATTTCTAGAACAGGTTCATGTTCATTGACACGAGCCTCTTTCTGTTTTTTTCTTACATCCTCCAGAATCGGTACATCCGACCCTCAACAGATACGTTTATTTTAGGTTCATGTATCATACAAACAGGTTTCCCGAATCCCCGCTCTCTTCTCTTTCACGTCTTCTACCTTCAGAATCATCCAATCCCCGAGTGTCACGAAGCTAGCTGGGAAAGCTCTGTACTCTTAATCGAGCGACTTCACCCAGAAATAACATCTACCTAATCAGGTCAATCCGTTCTTACACCAAAATCTTGTGCTCCCTCTTATATGCGGGCACCACGTTTTGAGCAGAACATCGGCATCAATATTCCTAGCTATCATGATGAACGAATGCTGATGGAACACAACGTCGACTGAGCGAGTGACTATGGCCAGAGCAGAAACTGTTGGCGAATACGGGAATGAAGGTAAGTCTGGTTGCCCAAGGGTCGATCTAGATTGTTTCTCTTCTGAATATAGCTCCGATATATATGGCAGGATGGCCACCATTTGAAGGATTGATAGTTTCGATCCTGCGTAGATGCATTTCAAAGCTTTCTTCCTTCCCATCCTTTCCCACAAGCTTCGAACACATCTCTCCAACCCCCATCATCCGATTGCAAAGCTCAAAGCCTATTCTAACAACTTTCAGTGCAGCTGAAGGAAACACCGATCTAAACATCGGCCACGTCTGGCTTTGTTGGCAAAATAGCTAATCTATTCAATGATCATACTTGATCTTATGGAGCTCTGAATAGATCAAACCTCGGTGAACAGCAAACCGATACCTTAACCTCTACCGTGTTTTAGATTTTGGGACATGCTTGGAGAGGAACACTACGGGAGACAGCTCAAGCTTTTGTAGAATATACGTGTCAATATGATGAAGGTCTCTGTAGTTTTAGTTGAGTGAACCGCAGCAAGCCCTGTTTCGACTCATGAGATTGTTTGGGCTGGTATTTGGCACTTTTCTGTATTTTACGTCTTCAGTACATTATACATATAGCCATCACTGTGGCTTAAGAAGCCGAATGGCATCATAAGGCTTAACCATCAACTGATTAGCTATCCATGATATATGTCTACCGCATGCCCTAGCTATAAGTACCTGACATTAAGTTGATTGATGTGCAAAAAATTAATCACCTCTAGTACTGCAAACTTTAATCAGAACCTCAAGGTTCCCTCACGTGGGACTGGCATTGTAAAGTGCAGTCAGGTATTGCAATTGATTCAAGTGTTTCGTTTATATGTGCAGATCTGGCCAGTGAAATTATGCAAGATGGAGATCATGTCGATTCCAGGGGGTAAAGAAAGTTTGAAAAGTTACCAGGGTGGTTAGGGTTTCAAGCCTTGTTTAGTCCTCAGGGTTGGGGTTTAGATTAGGCTGGTGAGGGTCATAACGTCTCACTCGGAATATGGTTTTCTTTGGACGAGTTTTTTTTTTTTTTTTGTTTGTTTAATTCATTAATTGCATGAAACCTTACAGTTATGGCAATAGCCCCTGAACTACCCGCTCCCTTCCACCTCCTCTCACGTTTGGCTGACATAGGAAATATATGAAAATACATCGTGTTTGGACTATTCCTCATCCCCGGCGTCTCTCAACGTCCCCCACCCGTATCCCAGTTTTCTCCTTTCTTCTTCCGTGTTTTCATCTTGCCCGCTCCTCTTGGACGAGTGAGGCATGATGATAAGCAATCGCGATCTTGTAGATCAAGAGGTCTTTAGACCGTATTAGTACTCTCGGTAAAAGAATATACTCGCATGTCGCCTTTTCAGTTAGATGAGCGAGTAGTAAAACATATAGAACTAGTGACTCTTTTACCTTAATCTGGTTGGGTGACAAAAGTTCTCGTGATTTTGTACGAGGATGGGCCATGAAACGACTATAACTCCACGACCGCAAAAGATATAAAGAAGATATTAATATGATCAGAGAGCTGAAGATTGATAGAACATATCTCCTAGGTATGAGTCTCGATTATTGACTTTGTTGATTGGTCTTTTAGGTAATTTCTGCGGGTTGCTTATATGCGAAAACCACGAGAACTTTTGCCACCACACAATACTTATCATTACAAATACACAACCAAATGAGCCTTACCACCCGGAATAGACCGGTCTGCCCATCAATGAGTGCGGCCCATCAGGGAGCGTCCACCCAAAATAGTGGGCAATGTTTGCTGATGGGCAGACTGGTCTACCCTAAGAAAACTGCCCCAAGCTGGTTTTCGATTAGTCCGGATCAACGATCATAAGACATGTGTAGAATTTTAATAAGCATTCAAAAAGATGTAATGCATCCTCATAATCCCTTAATAATAATACAACCTCCATGCATTTCCGATACGGGTTCATAAAGTAAGGCCTGTGTATTGTGGCCCGCCGGTACATTAATTTTGGCAAAGCAAGTACTTATTCAAAAAAAGAGTGATAAACAGGGTATGCACGCAAGTACAACCCCTCCCAAAACGCCAAACAACTTAGTATGGAGTGCCAAAATTCCAAAACCAAAAGTAACGCCACCACCCCCCCCCCCCTCCCCAAGAAGGTTCAATCCCAATAAACCAGGCCTATCCTCAGGCATCAAACCCCCAAAATCTTACCCCATCCTCTTCTCTTCCCCTCTTTATATGTATACCTCCTACTAAATTCCTCCCACTTCCTCTCCCTCTCATTCCAATCCTCCATCTGGCTCGCCAGATGATCCCAACTCTTCGCCTCCTCCTCCTCCAAGACCGTATCGGCATCAGTCTCCGCTTCCTTCGCACCATCCTCTTCCGCCGTCGAGACCACCGAGACCTCCGAAACCCCTGAGCCCCGCCGGCCGTCATCGTCCCTCATACGACTCAGTACCCTCGCTGCGTCCTCAATCTCCTTTGCAGCCTCGTCACGCTGCGCCCTTCGTGCGGCAACGTTTGCATATGCACGGTTCTGATGCCCTGAGCCAGTGAGGGAGTGCCATGAGGTGACATTGTAGTTTGCGGAGAGAAGTGAAGTATAGTTTTGTGACTGGGCCTGGCGCGGGGAGGGGAGTGATGTGTAGGTTGGGACGAGGGTCGAGGTGGAGTGGTACGATGGCGCAGCGGAATATATCGAGAGCTGGTCGTCGCGCTGGGGATCTTCATAATAGGTAGGTGGGTTCATCTTTTCTAACTTAGAGGTTTCTTTGATATTTATTCTTAAGAGTACTCGAGTAGTAGAGAAACTGATTAACGCGGCTTTACTTTACTTTGTGGTGCTAGACGGCGTTGAAGTAGGTTGGTAGGTACTTTACGCGTGGTGGGCGGGGTAAGGATAAGGATGGGGTGACGCGAATAGTGACGTGTGTGATAAGGAGTGCGAGGTCTGGCCTGTGACCTGCATGTGCTACCGGGTCACAGGATGGGCAGTACAATCATGTGCGGATATAGAGGGCTCGTTGCATTGAAGATTTTGCTAGATCTATTTTACTTGGTACATAACATACATGTATCCGCAGTAGAGAGTTTTCGCACACTATTATAAATTTGGGTAGGGTTGCCAGATACAGATCAGGAAGTGTGTGGTATGTGCCAGATTTCATCGATATGATACATAGGTGTGTTGATGACCGGTGGAGACTTTTAAAACTACAGATTGGAATTCACAGCCACAGAAGCCTCACCCGAAGTTTGTATGTTTTTAATTAATGGTGGATTTTATCTTGGTATTTACTGATTTCTGGTTGCTCTTCTCCACTGCGGTGTCCTTCCTCCAATAGCAACAGACAATTACATGAGTGCGGTATCCGAATTTAGGAAATTCACTACGAAACCTCTTTAGTGCGGGCTAGAATGATATAAGGTCGATGTATGTACATGTAGTCAGGATGAGTGAAATGTGATCGACGATTTTTCTTGGAATTATGCATGGAATATCACTCGGGGATTCTATGCGGAGAATTAGACTTTATTCGAACGAACGATATACATTCAAATAGGCTCAACGAAGTATCAGCCAACGTTTCAGTCAAAGCTCGGCGGTACCTCCTTACTTCTTATATGATCCCGGGCAAGAAATTAGGACTCTCGGAAAAGGATGAACCATGTCACAACGCTTCATAGCTAGATCTACATAGAGAGGCGGTAGTGATACCCAGAGCGGCGTTAGCAACAAATCAAATCTTGATGTACATAGTAACACTATTGCCCACCATGGCTAATCATTTGTATCTTGAAAACAGAGGAAGGGATACCGAGAGGCGGCTATTTTTTCTTTTGAACTAAGTCGTAGTCTTCACCACCGCTCTTCTGACAACGCTCAACGCCTTTCAACCACTGCCGCAGAGGTTTTTTGTCACCGTCAATAGCTCTCATGGGATGAAGAGCGCTATCAACAGCCATGTACTGAACGCATTGAGTCTGGGCCTCGAGATCTTCGTTGGTTTTATCGAGCTTTGGTTCGAATTCGGTGCCGTCAAGCCATAATCTGATACTGTTCCGGGAAGTGCGTCCATGCCAGATCACAATAGTAGTGCAGAGAGTAGTGGTGACGAGATTACTAATGATATCTCTATGACGGTGAAGGAATCCGCATTTTGTAAGCAAAGCTTTATCACGATAAATAAAGACGATAACGTACCCTGGAAACTCATAGCCGTTTCTTGTCTGTCCGTTGGCTGTGTCGTGTACTACGGCGGTGATATTGTGTCTGAGTGTTTATCGTTTAGGATGGGAGTTTCGGGTGTTGAGGATTTCACTTGGTGCTATGTTCCCGTATCCTTGGTGTATTTTTTGAGGACATGTAGCGAGTAGGAGCTAACTGGAAGCGTCGACTGGCGGTGCATCACGGCGCCGTCGAGAGCGACTGTAATTGAGAAATTCAATTTGTATGGGAGATCTGCTATTGGTTCAGGAAGATGGCGGGGCCTGTTAGAACCTACATGTATATATTAATGCCGTTTCGGTCATGGGTTGGAACGCGCCTTACTAGATGTAGCTAGATGGCTTGAGGCTGGTGGAGTGATCTATGGCCGCCGGGCATGCGGTATACCTTAGAAATCACCTTTATGAGATGTTGATAAGGATACTTACTATCGTCGCGCGTATAGTAGTCTAAGGGACCTTGTCCCTATCACAGGCACAACCCCCTTTACCTATTCACATTTTCTATTTTTTTATTTTGCATTTGAAATGCTGAGGGGACAACTAGGTAGAATGCTACTGATGTTGTAGTATCATAACCTTTTCACACCTCATCCTCTTCACCCCCCACCTAGTGTCTGACTTCGACAAAGTACATGTACATCTTAAGAAGGTCATTCTTATACCACTTCCACCTTCTATATACTACACAAAGGTTTAATCTACGATACTAGGTCGTTGCATGGTAATTTGATACTGATATATATACCAAAATTCGTGCAAAGGGATTACAGAAAAAAAATAAAACAGCAAAGACACTACCTCATGTAAATCTGCCCAGCCACATGCGTATATATACAGTTTAAATAACAATATGAATAGTGCCACTATAAATTATAAAGTTGGTCTAGGAGGTAGATTGACCGATCCAAGCCAACTAACAACACCCCGCCGAGGAATTAGGTAAATCTATGCCAACCTCGGCGACACTCCAGAGGCCCTATTCAGAACATGCCCCTCCCAATAATGCTATGGCTTCTTTGTGTTCTTCCCGTATCGCGAGAGTGAGTGGCGTATCTCCTGAATCATCTGAGAGAGAGGCATCGGCACCTCGATCTATCAGGAGTTTGACAGCCTCGATGGCTCCTCTGCTTGCAGCGTAGTGAAGAGCAGTTGACCCATCTGCCGCAGTAGAAGATACATCGATGTCATGTTCAAGCAGAAACTTCACCATAGCTTCCGAGTTCTCCTTTAGGTCAATGGCGAACCAAAGAACCGTCATTCCAAGATTGTCTTTGGCTGAGATATCGGCGTTATTAGAGAGAAGGAACTTGAGCATAACCTCACTTCCTGTATAGATAGCGTCCCAAAGTACAGTCTGTCCGGTGTTATCCCTGGCTGAGATATGAGCACCGTTGTGGAGGAGCAGTTCAGCAATATTCGTCCTGCCTGATAAAACGGCATCGTTAAGTGCAGTGAGCCCCTCGTTATCCGCGGCCAAGACATCGACGCCATAAGAAATTAGAAGATCCACTACGGCCTCACTTCCTAAATAAGCGGCGTCCATAAGTGGCGTCTCCCCATTATTATCTGTGACTGAAACATCGATGGATTCGAATTCGTTGAGTAGTTGTAGGAGTAAATCCTCATTCTCTACCAAAACAGCTGGCCAAAGTACAGTTCTTCCATCAATATCTTTGGCTGAGAGATCGATATCGTGGGAAAGCAGGAGAGGGATCATATTCTCCTGTTCCGCCAAAAGAGCATCCCAAAGTACAGTCCTTCCTTCGTCGTTCTTGGCTGAGATATCGGCACCGCAATCGAGGAGGACATAGAACCCAAGCTCATGATTCGACATGACTACATTCGAAAGTACACCGTTTCCCTCCTTATCTTTAGCTGAGATATCAGCGCCATACTCGAGAAGAAGGTCGACAATCTCAGGGCAATTTAAAACGGTCGTAGCATGCGCAGCTTTAAAAAGTACAGTCTGCCCTTTGTTGTCTGTGGCGGAGACGTCCGCCCCATATTCGAGCAGGAGTTTGATAATATCGACTTGCCACGACCGAACAGCTGCCCAAAGTACAGTTTCCCCCTCGCTATTTTTGACCGATAAATCAGCCCCGTGTTCGAGTAGCAGCCTGACTATATCTTCCTTTTTAGACAAAACAGCCGCCCAAAGTGCAGTATTTCCTTCATCGCTAACAGCATTCAGTTCAGCCCCTTGCTCAATCTGTGTCTCCACAAGTTCATGGTTCCCGTTTGCTGCCGCTTCAATGATTGGCGTATACCCGCCCGAGTCCCCGAATGAGAGATGGCATTCCTCCGCTTGGGTGTCGGGGAGAGGTTTGGTCACCAAATCCTCATATTCCATTGATGATGTATGGTAGGTGTGTTAGTGGTTGATCTAGTAGGTGGTGATCATATGCTTGGTTACTACTGTTGCTAGCTCCGGTGTTGTTTTTTTTGAAAATTGAGACTGGTTGGAAAAGAATCAAGATATATAAATCAGTGCTTGGGTTGCTGGATTAACATGCTCCGCCTCGCAGGGGTTACAGGACCAGGATTCTAATTCGGGATTGCGCCTTGAGAGATTTTCAGGGAATAGACCTTCATGAAGTCTAGTCCACCCTACCCTATATTGTATGGAGTATGGGTTATAAACTATAATAACCATGCATGGAGGCTAATATTAAAGCTTATGTACAGCCACTCAGCAAAAGTGTTCGTGATTTAGTTTTAATGTTACTGCGCGGTGTGGCGCACCGGTAATACTGATGTTACTAAAGTTGAGATTCAAAACAACAAAAAATATATCCCTTCGTGCGTTTTCAGGACCGGGCACTAAAGGAAGGTTATCCCTCAAAGAGGTGTTTTACTGGCTGTAAACCTAACCCTCACTCCGCGAACCTGTTTTGGTGTGAGGTCACCGTTTGTGACTTCTTCTTTACTTGTTCTGGCGATTCCAGAGACTGGAAAGAGTTAGATTTAATGGCTATCACCACGCCGTCGTGGGCCTAATATGTCTCCATCTGCGGAACACACGAAGGGATAATATAGTTCGTGACTACGTATAAAAAGAAGATAGGTCATTGATCTTATTCTTCATTAATTTAGGTGTCATTGGTCACTGGGAAAGTCTTCTCTGGGGGGGGGGGGGGGGTTCTCGGTGGTCCGCCACGGTTACATACTTGTATGGAGAAATGTCTCACTCCGAAATCGGAGTCACGAACACTTTTGCAGAGTGGCTGTACATACTATTCAAGCTCGATACGTTAGATTTCATTTCCATAGAGTAAGTCATCATACCATTGATCTATTTGCTTGAACACGACCCGGACCAACACTTAAATGAAAAAACAGAATAAAAAGCTTACTTATAATTACTCCCTCCAAAAAAGCAAAAATTCAGAGTCCTAGATTACACGCTATAAAAGAAATAAGGAAAGAAGTTTGAAAGAAAAGAAAGAAAGGTGAACGTCGGTTGACGAATCAAATCATAATGTGCCCCGTAGCATACATCTTCAGGTATAACTGATATCATCATCTGCTTCTCCTACTTCATCGCCTTCATCGACTTCATCACCATCGCCGGATGATGCTTCATCCATGGGTATATTCACGTCTCCTTGGCCATTTCCCGCGCCGGGAGTAGCACTACTACTTCCACCAGCCACAGCTCCATCCCTTGAGCTCCACATGCGGTCTAGCTCAGTGGTTAGTTGTACCTCCTCAGCTCTTCCGTAGAGCTCCCTTGACATGGCCGCTCTCTCTTCCCACTTCTTTGCCCTCTCCTCTAAGCTTTTCCCCGTCTCCCATAATTCGGCATATGCAGTTAATCTCTCAATCTCATGTCCTTTGCGTGCGAATTCACGCCCAAGCTCTTGCAATGCGAGGCGTTTCTTCTCGTTATCGTCGAGAGGCTGCCATCTCGTCCACTCTTCATTCAAGCGAGGTGACCACGCACTTAGTGGAGAGTTGCGGAAAAGTGTATATAATGCCGTGTATTCATGGATATCAGGATGCACTACATTCCAGGTTCCGGTGTGGTAAAGAGGGACGGGGGTAAATAGTGTTGGTGGTGCGGGGAGAAAGTGATACGCTAGCGTTGCGAAATTGAGAATTTGGTGGGGACTCGTGGGGGTCAGTCCTGATCCGGAGGTAAAGTCGGGCAATGAGGGCAAAGAAGCCGAAGCTTTTCTGGAAGGCTGTTAGCATACTCCTGACTCCGTGACGCTAGATAAACAGTGGGGAGTAAGCTGAGTAATCGGACTAGTGTGGTGTATGGGTGATATTCTGTGAGTGTTAGGGTCCTACGGAGGCTTACATCTCCTCCACTTCTTTAGCAAGCTCCTTGAATACCATGCTTCTAGCCATGTCTGCAATCCTCTTCACCCTCTTCTTCTCTACTTGCTGCTCTTGATGTCTTTCATAGTTCCTCCGGTTCTGCAGACTCTTCTTCTACACGACCCTGAACCGTCAGCGCGCTCTTGGAAACGCACCGAGTCAATCGCACCCGATACCCACCTCCTTGGGGTCCATATGCTTCATTCCTCGCAGCCGTCGAACGTCGTGCCGTAAACTTCTCATCTGGGAGATCGCTTCCTCTGTATGCTTGTCATCTGGCCGGGCTGGGCTGACTGCATACACCCACTGGTCATAGTGCCTCCCCAACCCACTCTTGGTAAATACCGCACCACACCATACGCAGGAGCAGTTTTTTGGAGGCGGTGCTCGGATGCGACGTTTTGGGGCCTGAGTAGATGGGGAGGCCGTCGAAGGTTCTGGAGGGTGGGACATAGATTGTGTGAGAGATGTTACATTAAAGATGGTTTGAACTAGATTGGAATATAAGCTATGGTACGTGGTACTAGTGGTGTTGTGAGAAGGGGTTTTTGTAGTTTGCACACACGAAAGCAAGAAGCGGAGGAAAGATGGCGTTAGGTTAAGGGTTGGTTACACCAGGTTCCCGAAGCCACAAAGCTTGGCGAATGTGCGTGAAAGCGGGTTTAAGCGAAAGGGTGGACTTTGTGGCATACGTTCTATTCGTGTCAGGAGATAGCATCACATATACATGTAGTTAATAGTCGTGAACTGTACGTTTACTAGTTAATATGTATAGACGGTACATCTGCCCTTTCTCAATCGATTGGATTGATTTAAAGCTTAAGTGAAACCTACCAGTATATACTTTACTCTGATTGTGTGGCCTAGCTTTTGACTCACAGTCACTCACTCGATGCAGCCTCAAACTGACCTCAACACACGGTAAAAAAGTGACTTGCATAAACCTAGATTTCGCTATAAAGTAATGATCAAATCTTAGCCCGTGGAGGGTACCGTCAAAAGAGAAGAGCCCTGTAAGCCAAATACGCGCGTATTTTGAAATAAAAACCTAGTTTATACCAAACGAAGATCCATCCCCCACAAGAGAATTTATCAACATACATGTATGTCGTTATAATTACATGTATATTCTACAAACGAAGCTAATACATTGATCCATTCCCGGTGCTCTCCAATTGAAGATCTATTAGTTTCATTCCATTTTAATTGATAGAAACCAAAAGAAAGGACACGCTTTCCTTCCATAGGAAAAAGAAATAACGCCGTTTATTGCAAAACGAAAAAGGAAAGAAGAAGGGAAAACAACCACAAGTCGCCGAGTAATTAAATCTAATCCACTAGCCACACTAGTATTTCTCTCCTATGCTTCATATGCCTTTTTGAGTGCATCAAAATGTGCTTTCTGTTCAGCCGCTAGTTTACCCTCCGTATCCTACCGCACATATACAGTAAATAACTACTCTTCAAACTGCTAAAGGGAAGGTAAACTCACTGATATAATTGTCAGAACCAATGAATAATTATTGAACAAAAATCGCTCCCTCTTTCCTTTCTCCCCAATACCAGCACTGAGCTTTGTCAAAAACGCTTCAAAGTCTCCCCTTAGACGTCCCAGACTATTCGCAACAGGTTCATCATCGCCGGCCTCGCTACTCAGGGCTAGGATTCCCTGAACAAAACATGCGAACCTCTGCGTGAGGAAGTGTGGTGCAGCACTTTGTTTAGCTGTATTTGTTGCTGCTAAACCAAGGGCGCTGAGTTGGCTCCTCCCGCTGCCACTACCAACAAGAGAGGATTTGCGGAGTGACTCGCAATGGGCATCCATAACAATCTGGAACCGAGGCCAGAGGAGCATGCTGGTCGCATTGATGTATGCATCCGCTGCGGGAACCCGGCGCTTTTGCATTTCGAAGGCGGAATATTGGTTTAGTCTTACGCATAGTAAAACGCCGTGGCAATCAAGTGTGGCGTCAATGAGGTGTTTGGTGACCGTTTGTGCAAGTGCGAAAGTAGGCGAAAATATGGCAGAGAACATTGCCGATGCTTGATCATAGGTTTTATGAGAGAAAAAGTCTGTAATGAACAGATATTCCGCGCATGCATTCTCGACGAGGGCAGCATTGAAGTGGCGAAAGTAAACTTCCGGATAGTGGGTCGTTCTGTCCTCCTCGGCCTGATGAGAGGTCATGATTGGTGCAGTTCGGTTTTTGAGGGTATCGATCCGGCGACCAATATTGAAAGGGTCATATGAAGCCGCTGGGACCGATTTGAGAGATGGGAGAAGGTTGTTTCTTCGTGCCGGCTCGTCTTGACCAACTGTATCGTGCTTGTCCATTGTGTGAAGTTTGAGTTTCTGGAGTGCTGCATTATAGCGTTGGAAGTGACTGAGGTAGTACCACCGCATTGTGTTGATATAAGCTTGCCCAATTTCTTCTGCAAGTTGCGCATGGTGGGTTGCCATGAAAAGAAAGAGTTCCTTGTACCGAATGAACCCTTGCTGTTGAATGATTTGGGCGTTTGCACCAGGAACTCTAATGGCTTTGATTTTGGCCACGAAGAAATCCCGTACCCTTTCGATCGCCTGAGCATAGTTAGTATAATGTCAAATACTCCAAAAAAAAAAAAAAGGTCTTAATATGGGAAAGCAGACTTTATGGGTGAGTCTTTCTAGTTCCGGCTTGACATCTTGTGCTGCTTTGACCTTGGTGGCATCCAGGACCTCGATAGCTTTCATCTTACGATCTGCTTCTTTCAGAGCCTTCACCCAGCTATCGTTGACCTCGCCCTCCACGATCTTTCGTATTACCCTTGGCGATAGTGCAATATCTTCCACGACGGGACCGATCGCTTTCTCAACATTTTTCCTATTATCAAGACGGCGATTAAGATTCGTTGAGCGGTTCTGGAGGGTCTCGATTTCCGCGCTGACAACCCCGAGGTCCGTCTGAAAGGCGTAAAGATAGGATTCAACAGATTTAAGAACCTCGTCGCAAGCCTATTTCGAATAATCCAGAGGTAAGCGAAAATCCGTGGGATTATAGGTAGAGATCGTGAGCACTTTTATGGACCGATGTAAATCAACAAACTTGCCCTGTTCCCGCTCATCTGTACATCCCTGTTAGCGCTGGTTCATATCCACCAAGAAATCCAGAGCTCACAATCCACCAGCGTGTTCACGCTATGTTTCCTAGCTCTCGCTGCCAGCTCCTGAGCTTCCGCCTCTCGCTGTTCCTCCTTCTGAATGAACTCCTCCAGACTCAGTGCCCCAAAGTTAATATCCTCTAAATCCTCGAGATCTGGCTCTCGACCAGCTTCATCCTCACCAGCGTCAACTTCGAGACCGGACTTCACTTGTACGCCGAGTATCCCCTCTAAGACGTCCAACGGATCCCGGATACCTGATGGTATAGGAGCTGTCGCCGCGCGCCTCAGGCCGAATGTCTGTTGCTGTTGCCGCACTGAGCTGGCGAGACTCGTGGTAGATGCATTGGCCGACGATGAAAGGCTTAATGATGATGTCCGGTGAGCAAGCTGCGGTCGGCTTCCAGGTCTACGGCCAGGTAGAGGACTTGGGGAGTTGTTATTTGGATATAGCGGTGCTGGAGACGAAGATCGCGCAGGAGCGTTCGCACCCGAGTTCCAAGCTCCAGGTCTCCACATGATACAATCTCGGTGCAGTGATTCAGAAAATAGCTGTAAATAACAATGGGATCAACTTACAGGAGCTGAGTCTAGAATGAGGCTGAAAACGTATGGAAGTGCCAAGACCTTCGAGCTTGCCGAGGCAGGGTAACTACAGTAGCCGGGTTATTGTCACTAGTTCAAATCCATCCTCGAGCTAGCTCAACCACGACATTGTCACTACAATTTAGGTCGGAGACCATAGATTTATTCTCCCATTGATTCTCTACTAAACCGCTGCCTCTAATTTCTCATATTGTGATTATGAAGGTAAAACTTGTTGTCCAGATAGGTACTGTTCTTTTCCGATATCCTGCATATCACGGAGAATGAAAAGCTTAACTAACAAAGTACTTAAGCTCTCCACAACGTACAGGCGTTGGATCGTCCCTTGAGACAATCCTCCAGAGATGAACCCAGATTATGGTTAGCATCAAATTTTATTCATATTGAGTAATGGTCTAAAAGTGAACACTAGGCGCTAGATCAGAAATGCGAGTGATGTTTCATGATCGAGATAGCCGCCAACCGGGGGGTTCGTCTCCCTTCCACTAAATTTAGTAGGTGCATTACAGTCGCAACTCGATATGCCGGATTGCCAAGATTCGAAGGATTTCATCCGGGATAGCAAATTGATTTTGCAGTAAAAAAAACCAAAACCCCAGAGGATTTCGTACGGGATAGCAAGGGATCCAGCGTATTGAGACCCGGCATATCGAGTTGCGACTGTAATTACTGAACGAATTAGGAACTTCCATTGATTTTGCCCGAGACAGGAGATAAATGGTGATAGGTTCCCTAACCAATATCCGCGGCATTGACGGAACCGAAATATTATCCGAAAACCCTTAGGCGCTGTACTCAATGGCGTTTAATCGAGCTATTAATACATATACACTTTGCAAGGCAAGATGCTTACCCGCAGGACTCGATGTATCGCAGCCTTAAAGAGGGGTACTTGAGCCAGGACCTATCTCACGTATATACCGTCACGACGATTGATAAAATATTCAACATTAATTACAAGTGTTTCTGTTAAACAAACATGACTTCCGGCGTCGAAACCCCTAATATAAGCTCCTACAAGCTAAATGTTACATTTCACGAAGATCACCTTAAACAGACAGCAGAGAGCGGAGAAACTACCATATGGAGAAAGGAAAAGGAGCTTGGAAAGGGAGGCTTTGGGAGCGTAAGGCTTGAAAGGGGGGTGTTTGGGGGGGCGGAATCCGTGAGGGCAGTCAAAAGGATTTTACGAGCCTCATCCACCACAAACAACCTTTATATTCAACGTGAAGTGAAGGCGTTGATAATGGTCCAAGATGTAAGAATGTCATTTGAACTGTTTGGAGCTGGTACTGATGTCCCGAAAGCACCTGGATTTATTTGTCAAGTTTTTCGGATGGTACGAAGATGATTTACATTTTTTCATCGCGATGGAATACGCTCCACTCGGTGATTTGGGCAGTTATATCAAGAATTCTAAAGAGGATGCCCACTCGAATGCCATCACCATCACCCAGCAACTATTGAAAGCGCTCGTCATCCTGCACGAGAGAAAGATCTATCACCGCGATCTGAAGCCTCCGGTTCTAAACCCTGTGGCCAGTAAAGAGAAATAAAGCTGATGGACCTGTAGAATGTTCTTATTACGTCACTGTCACCACTCCACGTCAAGCTAGCTGATTTTGGGGCGTCCAAATCTACAATAAACACCATGTTAAGGACTCAGTGTGGAACCGTTACTTATCAAGCCCCAGAGATGCAAGGATTATCGGTTCAAAGGCACGCCTTAGGAGGAGAATATCCATTTGCTCTCGATATGTGGTCATTGGGCTGTATGGTTTATGAATTGTTGACGACGGAGGCGCCATTTCTGGAAGAGCCGGCTCCAGAGGAGGAAGTTTCTGAGGTATCGTGGATTGAGGATGGTCCACCTGAGCGTTCCCTCAACCTGGCAATGTTGGTTGATTTCTGCGAAGAAAGGATCGATTTCCCCTTGCAACCGTTGCACAACGCGAGCGTCGGTCTCAAGGGCATAGATTTTATCATGAAGCTATTAGTTGCTAGTCCCGAATTCCGCATGACGGCACAAGCGGCATTAAAACACGATTGGTTTGCCCAGCTAGGGCCTTCAGATGCATATTTCGAAGAGATCACAAATCAAATGATCTCCCTGGGTATTGATTCTACGGTAGCTAAAAGTCTCATTCGGGCACACAGAGAGGGCCCTAACCCGGACAAGATTCAAGATATCCTCAATGCAGTGGGGAAAAATTACATATCCTTAGCATATGACGCATCGCACAAAGGACACACCTCGCTCCTAGATATGCTATTAGAAACGTTCAAAGGAGACACGAAATTACCCCATACTACCGTCAAGGGGTGGAGTTTATTGCAAACTGCAGCCAAAGGAGGTCATCTTGGTGTGGTAAAATTACTCCTGGGTTGGGGTGCAAATATCAATGCCGAGGCTGGCCCTGTCTGGAGAGGGCGAACAGCGCTGCAAGCAGCAGCAGAGTCAGGAAACACCAAATTGGCCAGGTTCTTATTGGAAAACGGAGCGGATGTTCACGCCAAGGCAGCGCAAAAAGGAGGCCTCACAGCCCTACAAGCGGCCGCCTCCTATGGTTATACGGAGATATTGGTGGACCTGGTCAAAAAACATAAGGCTGAAGTAAATGAAAAGCCATGTGATTTGGATGGACGAACAGCATTGCAGGCTGCAGCCGAGAAAGGGCAGGAAGATGCGGTAGACTTTCTTTTGCGAAACGGTGCTGAGGTAAACACAAAGCCCTGTAAACAAAAGGGATTCACCGCGTTACAAGCCGCTGCCGGAGGTGGATTTGTTCGTATTGTCGAAATACTTTTGGGGAAGTCGGCCGATGTCAACGCGGAGCCGTGCGATCTCTGGGGCCGAACGGCAATACAGGCAGCCGCAGAGAACGGACATAGTGATGTAGTCCAGTTGTTATTGGAAAACTCGGCTGATGTAAACGCTGGGCCGTGCGAAAAGAAGGGCAAAACAGCTCTATGGGCAGCAGCAGAGGGCGGTCATGCAAATGTCGTGAGGTTACTTTTAGAGTCTAGAGCCGACATCAATTGTGACAGATGTGGTTCAACCGCGTTGGAGATAGCAGAAGAGAATGGTCATCACTCGATTGTAGAACTCCTGTCGGGCAATTCTTTTTATTGAAATGGTTGTAGGTTAGACGTGGGAGTATGCGTGGGTGGGATCATGGGATCGCCGCTATATATATTGATTATTTGTTTTTGAAGTTCATAAACTAAATATTGGTTTGATTACTTCAACTGGGTTCTAGCTTAATCCATGGAGAATATAACCGTCCATTTAAAGAAGCTTGGCATGGAAATAATACCTATAAGCTATAACATGTAGTCCAACCCGGTAGACGAACTCTTGATGTATGTGGAGATTGAAACGGCTGGCAACGAAGCAGGAGTCTTCTATCATTTGAATCTATTGCACGTATCCCCAATAAGTAATGTCTGGTTAGGAGGAGGACTTCTGCAGGAATCATATTCTTCCATATGGAACCCTCCACGTACGGCTACGTATGTCGAGCTTCGATCTCTGCCGGTTTGTCACTACGTCACAAATGATCACTCGGTTGTACATCTTGTCTCTCGCGGGCCGAAGTAACATGTTACCTTGTACAGCGCCCTAAAAAAACTCAAAATTGTATTATGTCTTAATAACAAGTGCGCACCATAACCAAGATACCTAGTTTGGTTCTAATATATAGCACTCCTGAATACAAAATTATCCTTGCGCCGCTGTGTCTAAGGCTCACGGTGTGTAAGTGGAGATTATAAAACTATGATTAGAGGAATTAGTATATACTCAGCGCGCTTGACTGTGCTGGCTTTGAATGATATATGTAGGTATCTTTAGGATCCGCTCATATATATAGGAGGAGATAGATATATTATATTACAGTTCAGTGTTCCTTGCGGTTGTAGGGCGTCCTCATATCTAATTATTACCATCATCAACATCATTACCCTCATCAACCACCCACGACGCACAACCACAGAACAGCACAAAACGACACAAAACAGCACAACAAAACTAAGCACACAAGAAAGCGCACACAAGAGCATATAGATAGAAAGGGAAAAGCACAAAATAAACAAAAATAAACGAACCCAAACCCGCTGTGATTTATTAACACGCATTCCCACCAATCTACACTACTCTCCCAATAGCTACAGCACCCACACACACTCACACACCTTATTACAATATAAACCTGAACCCCGTCTCCCTCGGCCGCCCCTCCAACATATTTTTCCTCTCACGTCTGAGATTCTTTCTCTTGAGACGCCACCGCTGAAGGTATGCCAGCACACACACCATGACCAGCGCCCCGCAGCATGTCGACATTCCGCGGACGTAGTATGGGCCGTCCTCTGGGGGGTACAGCTTCGTCCCGAGTAGGGGCCCACATTGGCTACCGGACCCATCGTATTAGTCGACCATTTATAAAGAAGAAACAAAGGTCGCGCTTACCCAATAACTTGGACCAGTCCAATCCCAGCGCCACGGCCGCTCTCGCTCTCACCATTGTTGACAACCCAGACCATCACTAGCGCAATCGCAGAGAATATGCCGCCAGCAGCCATGAATACGCCTGTGTATTTTACGCCCACGCCCACCGTCTCGCTCTTCACCCACTGTGCTTCGCTCACATAGCTCTCCCACCACCGCCCTGGCCCGGAAGCCTCTATGGACTCCACACCGGCAAGTGCAGTGTTCAGAGAGCTCTGGAGACTCCCAGTTCCCGCAAGCAGCGCATAGCCGATGGCACCAAGGAGACAGCACAAGATTATCGGGATGCTGCGGGTGGTGTAGCGGTCGGATATCCACGTACTCAGCAGGACAAGGACAAACGCGAATATATACGGCGGGGCCGAGAGCGCCTGTGCCGTGGTTGATTTGTATCCCATGTCATTGATTATAGTGGGTAGAAACACAGGCAGGCTAGAGAACGAAACGTTGCAGAAGAAGTACATCAACGCAACGATCCAGTTTCCGCCGTCTCGGAGCGCTGCAAACACTTCGCTCCAGCGCACACCGCTCTGGTGGTCTTCCTCCTCACGCATTGTGGCAGCGACGGAGTGATCGCCTTCGTCGGTGACGACGAGGAGGCGTCGGCGCGCGATCTTCTTTTCGTCGGTGGTGAGGAAGCGCGCGTCGGAGGGGAGGTCGGGGATGATGTAGTAGGCAAAGACTGCGGCAATCATGGACGGGAAGCCTTCAAGGATGAAGAGGAGACGCCAGGGAGCTATGGCGGATGGGATAGAGGTAAGGGCATATGCGAGGAAGCCGGCATAAGCTGTTGCGAGAGGGGCGGCAGATATAAAAAGACCGCATCGGAGGGCGAGTTCCTAGTGGACATTAGGACAAGAAATAAGAGATGGATTGGGAGTATCTACTTCGCGGCGGTAGAAGAAGGAGAGGTAGAACGGGACACCTGCGGTCCAAAATTAATATATATGCTGGTAATAAATTATTAGATGGTTCGATGTACCTGGCCCGAAAGCAGCTTCGGTGATGCCGAGCAATGCCCGGAAAAATAGCATATACCACCAGTTTGTGGCCAGCCCTTCTATACTTCCGCTCTCTTTGATTAGCTTCTCGTGTTATACCGAATACGGGACGGAATTGGTTTGGAGGTCTCACGCATGCTTGCTACAAACCCCCATCTATCATTGGCCTCGTTAGTGAATTAAGTTTTGCGTAATACTGCTGGGTATGAATAGACTTACCCCATTACACAGCATGCAATGTATTTGTGTGCCGCAAACACCTTGTAACACAGTGTCATCCATTCAAAACTCTAGGGGTATGTTAGTACTTTATTCACCAACTATGACTCGGAGCGGTGCTTACAATGTACGTCATGTAGAACGCTGTCAGCAGCCACTCATATTGGGCTCCGGTCAACCCCAGATCCTTATTCATACCCGCTACTTTCGCCTAAACCACACCCATGTCAGCCTGCGGCCCCCCCATCCCCTGCCTGCATCTCCTAACCCCAACTGCAGTCCACTCAACATGTAGGTACTGACATTTCCGATATCTGCACCACACCCCGCCACATTAGCCATTACTACCCCACCACAGGTTATCCAGGAGAGGGGGGGGGGGGATACGCAACTACTACGATCCAAGAATGAAAGCATATACAGCCCCGCCAAAAAGCCGACCAAATGCAGGTCAAACTTCCTTACGACCTTCCCTTCCTCCTCTCTCGTGTACAGAAATTCCTTCCTCATCCTGGGCCGTCGTCTCCGTCGTCTCCGTATATTTGACGATGATCCCTCCTCATCACTGGCATCGTATACCACCGCACCGCCACCGGCCCTTCCTTCGTCCCCAGAACTATCGTGCTCGGGTGCTATCAGGGTGCCGTGCTCATCTGCATACACCTCTTCCTGTTCCCTTGCCGATCGTGACAACGGCCGCAGCTCATACCCGTCCTCTCCGGTGACCACAAAGCCAGAATTGCTGTCGGTGTCGCTCTCGGGGGTGTGGATGTAGGGATCCTCGTCGTCGTCTGCATCTACGGCGGAGGAGGGGTGGTAGCTAGTTGCTGGGGGGGTGAGCTCCAGAGGGGAGGACGAGGACGAGGCTGGCATTGCAGAGAGATTAAGAGTGAGTATTCAGGGGATTTCTCTCTCTCTCCCTGTGGGTCTCGTTTGAGGTTGGGAATAGTCGGTGGGAGGAGGGGGGGTCGCGAGATCAGTGGGTGTTGGGGTGTGAGGCTCATACACATGAAAGCCCGCTTGGACCATCTGTGTGGCTGTTGAGCTGTGGGAGCTGCACCTTGGCGGGTCGCGTAGCAACCCCCGTTATTGGACCCTTGACCGGTTTCTAGACTGAAAAGCACCTACTACATACTAGAAGAGGAGACATGCTACCACAGTCCCATACTCTTCTCTAGCACAATTTTCAGTACTCAACTCCTACAAGAATAACGATTTGGGTATGCTGGTCCGTATCGAACCCAGACCTCTACTATATATGTAGGTATCGCAAGCTGTTCCAGGAGTGCCGGATTTGAAGAGTTGTTTCTGCCATAAAGGAATGAATGGGGATTGTACGTTCCAAAGGTGAGCTTGAGCATTTCTCTACCTACATGTGCCTACATGTACCTACATGTAGGTACTCTACCCTTGAGCTTGTCTGTCCCCCAGGTCAAGACTCGGTTGTTTAGCTACATGTATCGTTACACAAACCACACAGGCGATCCATTCCATTTATCTCCCTTGGCGCATGAGCTTTATTGTGAGCTCCTTCCTTGGCACTCAGTGGGTTAGGTTTCTCATCAGGCCGGCTCCAAACGAGCAAAAAAGAAATCATGGGCGGACCGGGATTCGAACCCAGATCTCCTGAATTCAGTTGGCTCTTAATCACCTACGTCGTCCCACTTCAACCCCTGCAAGTACCCTCAAGCACTGCCCGAGAGGGGGGGGAATCGAACGTGCAACATCACCTCACCAAGCCAAGTGCTCTACCATTGAGCTATCTGCCCTTAGTAACTCTGACAGGACACAGAGAGACATGGTGGTGTGCAGACCTAGTCATGCTAGGATCAGAGGAGCGCGGGCGCGTTGGTTGGGTTGGACTGACGGCGGCAAAGTCCGTGGAAGCCGTTTCGAGGACCGGCCAAGGCTTAGTTACGGAGGAGGCCTTCATGGATCATCACTCGGAAGACAAGACGCTACTATATGGTGCAATACAGGCTGGAAATGAGGTAATGCCTTCTGAAGCATGGCAGCCTGATCTATGTAACTCGCTACACAACTGCCTCCCAAGTAGCAGACATCGATCCGGATACTTTCGCACGACGGAAAATATTTCTTTACCGCTATGCCTATGGATATCACTGGAATACCAAAAGTACAGTCCTTAAGCTGGACAGCACCGCAGTTGGTTCAAGCTAAACCTGAGAGCCATTATACTCACGCAAGTGGTACGAATATACTTGTACCTAGTCAAGTAGTAATCACCTCGTGGAATAAATTATAAAGACCCCGGTTTGGAACAGGCTACAGTCCAACGTTTTATCCAATCTCTAAATGGTCGGTCTGATTCTTATCGTGTACGCTGTCATTGGTTATAAAATTGACGGCGTGCAGGTGGCTACTGTGCAATATCATGTGTCGGCGCCTTATTCATTGTATGCATCTTGTAAATTACTCGTATACGAAGAGGGGTTTGGTGAAAACGACACATTGAGCTGTAACGTGGCATACTACATGTAGGACCCGAGACACGACGACTTCAACGTCACACTCATACGTTCAAATACCTGCCCCGAAGACTTGCATGAGGCAGAGGTTGAGCCCAGCATTTTCAATTGATCGTTTCCCCACTTTGTTATGTTATAGTCGGCCATACTTATTCTAGCCTTCGGAATAGCGAAGTTATAGTATGCCTAACTTTGGAATTTAGGAAGTTTGCTCACGACCAAAACACATAATGCCACTTCTTAAACAACATTCCATAATTTTGGTGAAATATCGTACGAACGGGTTAATATCAAACGCATACACACACTACGGCCCTAGTTGAAGGTGGACAAGTTTTGGTGGGGACTCGCACATCTATGGAAAAGAAACCATCGTCTTCTATCCTTGTGTTTAGGATGGCCTTGTATCAGTACGGGAAGCCCATCCCTGCTATCACGCTTGCACGCGGTCTTCATGACGAAATAAGTGAGAAACAGCACAAGAGGATATCACATTTCTTTACATTAACGATGGGTTGGAAATTACTTTTCTAAACAAAAACGCGGGGGGCCTTGTTCCGAAATATCATTCCCTTCATGGGCCATCACTCGCTCAAGCTACACACGGACCCTCTTCGATGATTATTTACGGGAAGATACATAGAAATATTAACGTTTGGACCAACCAAACAGCTCATAACTAAGGAATATTACCCGTAACGCCTCAAGAACTGGATCTCGACACGATCCATCGATGATCCCGATTGAATTTGCAGGGCATGAGAGAATACCAAGGAAGCGAATATTCCTTTTTCCCGATGTTTCTGTTTGTTTGCTACTTTAGCAAGCCTCATACCGACAACTCTGCAAGGCAACAGCACCAAGGGAAAGAGTTTTTAAGACTGCAAACGAGGTCTCACACGGATAATCACTGCTCTCCTCAGTCCAGACTGGTATTATCGGGGGCCTTATTTACTTGGCAATTTGACCAGGCGTTGCCGCCATTACGCAGTACTGGTACAGCTGACTTCATAATATCTGGTGGCGAGGTCGATATATATAAATGTCCATGAGCTGCACGTGGCTTTGAGATTTAGTAGTATCACTGCCAGTTGAATTGTTATCGGACATTGCATAATTCAGCTCCGTTAACAGAGCTCAACCTTCTACCATAATGCCTAAAAACTCAAAGAATTCTTCTGTTTCGCCAGCTAGAGTTAACGATGCACCAGTAGACCTGGCCCGTTACCTACAAACACTCGTGTCACCAATTACGGAGCTACAGAGCCTTCTGGAAGCACTGCCGAACATTGTGCCACAACTTCACGCTCATGTATCTACCTCAGATGAGTTGTCCGTCAAGGCTCAACGAATCAGCGAGCTAGAGGCGGCAGTCGCGGCATTTGATTCGGTGCACATGAAGACGTCAGAGGCCCTGAAGATTGAGGTTGATGACCTCAGGAAGCGTCTCGACCACGAAGGGAAGCACTTTGGGTCACTGAAGAGTGACCACGACAAGAGATTGGAGAAAATTAAGTTAGAGCACAAGCAAGCTCTTGAAAAACTGGAGCTAAGTCATTCTGTCATGGTGGAGGGTCTCGAGAAGAAACATAAGGATCGATTGAGAGACGAAAGAAATGAGTTGGATAAGGTGAAGAGGGAGATGGAAGATGTGGATGTGAAGAATTGTGGTTTGAGGGAGAAGTTGGATCTCGCCAACGAGAAGCTCAGGCTGTTGGAGGGGAACATGGCGTGTCTGCCTGACGATAATATTTTGTACCCGATCCCCGCTCATCCCCAAACACCAGATGTAAAGACACTACTGATATATGAATAGTGAGGAGAAATGGAAAGACCTAGCGAGAGTGTTCCATCTTTTCTGTAAGGAACATTTTACGAACATCCCAGAAACCCCCACCAATCACAAGCTCACCCTCCAAGAATCATCTTATCTCGTCAATTTTGCCACAGCCCTGCCCTTCCCGTTACCTACCAGTGACGCGCAGGCATCCGCCCTCCTACATCTTGCTCTTGTTCAGCATCACATATCCAACACTTTATGCAAGAACATCTTTCGAACAGTTGTGGTCCCCAGCACCTGCCCGGACGCTTCCACAATCTTCGAGTCGATCTCCACCGTGCTTTACCGCAAAAACCCACATCTCGAATCAACTTGGCGTAGTCTCACCACTACCGCTCTCTCCCACACCGGGTCCAAAGACTCTTTGAATGCAAAAGCTCAAGACATGGCCGCAGAGATCATAAATCTCACATATCTCCTCATCCCCTCTGGCAACCACGACAGCGTCCATGAAAAACTGTGCGCTCTTTTCAAAATCGCATTCACCACCTGGCGGCCGACGCAGCGCTGCTCAGCACGCATCTTTGCGACAACCGATCTCGGCGATGACATCGATGCCGAGCAGTGGGGATCACAGCTTGAGCAGGACGAGTTCGGATGTGCTTCGGATATGGATGAGACCGAGCAGCAATGTAATAATAGCAAGGTGCTGTGTCTATTCCCGCGGGTCTACCGCGAGGACCGGGACGGGGAGCACCATGTGTATTTCCCGGGAACGGCGCTGTATGCGGATTCAGGGGCGTATGTAGCGGGGCTCAAAGAGCATAGGGTCATACAGAACCTAAGGGAGGAGCTCAGTAAAAAGAAGCAAGCGGAGGTAGGAGGTTCGGGAGTGCATGGTAGGCGTAGTAGGAGGTTAAGCCTGAGTAGGCCGTTGCCCCAGCCGGTGCCGGCGCAGGTGCTGGTGCACAAGCCAAGAATTGGTACTGGTAAGGCTTTGGACGCCGCAGGCCAGCAACAGCAGGTGGTAAGGGTGGGAGCGGCGGGAAGGTCAGTGGAGAGCATGGGAACCGCCGAATCCGAGGGCGCTGCAGTTTTGGGGACCTAGTTATTTGGATGCTACGGTGGCATTATATCTTCACCCACGAGCAATCAGGTAAGATCTAAGACTTATTACTTATTTGGGGAAACTTTTAACTTATCTATAATAGTTGGCCATGGTTATTGGGGACATTTTGCGGACCGTGATTATTGTATTGCATATTTAATTTCATTTGGGTTCATTTACAATATTTACATTCAGTTGAAGTCAGAACGAGTGACCTCCAGTGACTTTCATGACTTCTAACGTCCCCTCACCATATATAGATACATTGCACAGCTCGCCCATCGCTATCATCTTCACAGGGACTCACTCGTTCGAGTGCAATCCCGTGAGTCCAAAAATAGCCCAAATCCCTCAGCCCACGGCCCCAGCACCGAAACGAACCACCCCCAAACAGGCCATGCAAGCGAGGTCGTATATACCCCGCTGCCGTTTTCACTGCTTTTCCCCTAATAACGGAAGTCGGGAGGGAGATGGAGGGTGCGGGTGGGGGCCAGGTGTTTGAGGTAAGAGGAAGGGGTAATGGCTAAATTGATTGAAGATTGTGATGTTGTGCACGTGTTTTTAAATCAAGGGGTACATGCATAGGGAATATGTAAACTTGCCTGCTGTCGGGTGAATTAAGAAGTACTAGTGATTAGCAATTGAGAACTTCTGACAGTCCTGGTATGTGATATGATGTGATGTGCTCCTACCCCAAAAGTCACGTTTTGTAAAATAGAGTAGAGTGCATGTAGATGATATACACGGAGACATATGTAGAAGACCAATGTTTCATTCATGTCATCAGTTAATAAATTTTGAGTATTAATTGTCGCCTATCTGCAAACAAGCAAATGAGATATAACTCGCTTGACCACATCATGTGCCATGACACTGTGGCCCCCGCACCGTTTACGAGAGTCAGGGGCAGACGGCATGAGTGATGAGATATTTGGTGGGAAAAAAGACACTATTGTTGCCGGGGCATGGTGATGCTTGGTCGTGCATGAGTCGACGTTGACTGCCCCTTTTGATATCACTTCCAAGCTATTGATCTATAGTACTACACGATATATGCCCAATTACCTTTAGAGTACTCTACACGCATGGAAGCTCTTTAATATTATCCAAATAAAGTAGATAAAGTGGTCTAAATGATCAATTCCTTGTAGAACTCATCGATAGTAATTACATCCCATAGTACCAATGCAGACGGTCCCTAAATCCTCCCCCTGTACCCACAATCCCAGGAACCACTCGGCAGGATAAACCACCACCCACGTTTCTTCCAGAAACAGGTTGGCGGGAGTACCCTCTGTGCCGTACGGCCGCAGAGAAAAACAAAGAAAAGAAGGAAGTTCCCATTTCAAACTTTGTACCCCCCTGGCCTTTTCGTGTTTCGCATATGATGTGATATTGATTTGGAAGAGAGAGGCTTATCTGTACTACCACCACATACCACCGCTAATATCTACGGCACAGAAGTGGACATAACAACCACGCCTCTCCCCGCCTCCTAAGCCTTCTCACAGTACTTTGGAGTATTCTCACTTTTATATACCATACAGACCGGGGGTAGATATCTGTTTTCGCCCACCACATTCTTTTTAAACAAACATCTCGTTCTTTTACAACGTCGTCAATTACACAGCCGCATACCGTACACCTCCACAACTCACGCCGCCTTTTGAAAAAGCTGTTGTTGCTTTAATTACACACCTCACGCCGGCCGCTAGAGGAACACCATACACACACACACTCACAGTATTCTAGAAGGCTTGAGCTGCGCTCAAGCGAGAATTTTAAGTGTATTTAACGGTCGACGTCGCTTGTTGCTCGCTTGTTACGTTTGGCTGAGTGCGAGAACCAATCAAGCAATCCGACAAGGAACTTACTATAATACATACATATATAACTGCAGCTGGCTGGGATAAGAGAGGTGAGGCGCCCTATCGATTCGGTACACGTGCGGGTGGTAGCTAATGATGCGTTGGTCTTAGATATTAGTACTACTACTCCTACTTCTGCTGTTCTACGTACTACTGTTCAACTCAGACACTTCTACTACAACGCTACTATTCTACTACTCAAACACTCAAGCACTACCAAACGCTCACCACTCTAATACCCAAACACCACAACCACAACCAAAATGCTTACAAATATCTTCTCTCTCTTCTCCCACTCCTCCTCCCAGCAGGGCTACACCAAACACGCACCCACCCCCCGGTACCGTCCCTCCCCCGCCGAAGACCACTTTGCCCTCCTCGCATCCCTCCAGATTGCAGTCCTCGCCCCACCTCCTGCCTCTACGACACCCTCCACCGCGCCCTCGATGCTCCATGGCCACAACCCCGCCAACCTCCGCAAGCAGGGCCGTCTCGCACTTACCTTCGCACTCAAGAACCATACCGCTGGTGCGGGGCCTGAGAAGATCCGCGTTGCGAATGAACTAGAGGAGGCGATTGATGCGGCCTGGGCAGGTGTCGAGGATTATCGCGGGAGGGTGTACGCTGTCGGTGGATGGTTGGCTGTAAGTTTAATTCCTATCTCCCCGAGGTTTGTGCTGAGTGTGTACTGATTTCTTGGCGAAATAGGAAAATGATGGCATTATTGAGAGAGTCCTGAGCGGCGAGGTGACGGTGGAGGATATTGCGGCGGGGAAGCTGCCGGTGCCTGCGGTGGCGGGTGGTGAGAAGGTGGTTGCGGCGTATTGTTAGGCTTGCACTTGTGTGTTTGCGTTTGGGTTTGGGTTTTTGTGGGGTTTTTGGATGGCGTTTTTTCTTCATTTTCTTTTTCTTTTTTGGGGTGTTTCTTCGTTTCTTGATGAGCGGTGCAGAGCGAAATCTCTGTGCAGCTCTTTTTTATTTCTTTTTTTATTTTACTCATAGACTTTTTTTCTTTTCTTCCAGTGGCTCCGGTGGGGTGCGCTGCGGCCATTCTTTAGATTATGTGTATTTCTTAGACTTAGATTACTCGGGGTGCGTCATGGGGGAGTGGAAGGGTGGGGGATAAGGAGCTGGGCTGGCTCTGAGTGGTTTTCACCAATCGATTCCTTACTCTCATACTGGTTTCACAAATAATTAAACGAGCACTTGTTTGGTCTGGTGACTTGCTTGTTCTTGTACAGTCACTCATTGACATCGATGGAGGTGGTTCTATTTGAGCCTTTAACTAGCTTTATTTATCGGCACCAATTCTCTAAGATGGACATAACTGAGAGCTGGAGTCTTGGTGATATACTCAGACAATATACTCATAAGCTGTGGCACTAGCATTGTGGGTTAGGGTTTTGTGTTAGTTGGCTGTTGTTTGTTAGTTGGTTGGTTAAGGCCGCTCTAGGCTTGGTTGTTGATCTTGTGCTAAGACGGGAGTCTGAGGTTTCAATTGAGTTTGACTACATACCTGTATGCACGAAAGGGGACTTCCAGGTGAAATGATGGCTTAGACATATTTCTTGTTCAAACCCGGTATCAATCGTGACGCCAAAGCGGTCAGTCACCAATCACAACCACGCCCAAAGTTCAAGCTGATTTACGGATATGCAGATGGAGCGCAATTCATATGTATATTGCAGTTTCTAAGGAAAAAATAAAAAGGAAAAAATAAAATAAAACTACATACCCATACCCATCCAGATCCCCCGACTCCAACCCAAGCAAAGAAAAAAAAGAAAGAAAACCGACCCTCCCCAGCTATCGTTATGCTATTCCTCTATCCCCTTCCAGCGCCAGCCTTCTTCTTGTCGTCCTCGTCCTCCGAGTCGCTGTCATCGTCATCGTCGTCGTCGTCGCCATCATCTTCCGGCACGTCGACGTTCCCGCGGTCACCAGTCTCATCGGGGAAGTCTGGGTCCTCCTCCCTAGATGTTGCAGTTTTGTTAGTTCTCTATATCTAGCTATACGTGCGATAATGTCATGCCACGGGGGTATAGTACGTACTTTGATTCAGCAGCAGCGGTCGAGGTAGTAGCAGCGGACGAAGAGGTAGATGTGACGTCGCGGCGGCCGACCGTGTTGGTGACGTGGGCCTCGGGGACGTCGATGTTGCGGCGGCGGTTGTCAGATGGGTGGGCGAGGGCCGTGGCGGCGAGGAGGGCCGAGAAGAGGATGGTGATGGTTGAGTAGCGCATTGTGGGAGTGTGGTTGTGGGTTGGTTTTCTTTTTGTTGTAAATGAGTGTCTGGTTTGGAAGGAGTGTGGGTTTCGAGATCAACTCGAGGTGGTGGATGTGAATGAGTAGATTGGATTGGAGATGATGCAGAGGAGGAGGAGAGTACCTGCAAGTATATATAGAGGATGAGCTGGGTCGGGGAGTACTTGGTTTGGTATGTACGTGGGGAGTACTTGCGGTCCGGTGTACTGACGCCGGTGTGGGCTTGGGCATTGGGGGAGTTACAACTACAAGTCGGTACATGAGGTAATTACTCAGCCACGGCGCGGACGTATCGGTGAAGTGCATGTAAGATAGATGGGATTCATGGAATCTCCATGGGAATTCTGCTGACTATTCGAGAGTGTAGGCAAAGGCTCCATATTCATGTAGTAATCAGGTCGGTCATGCTGAATTGTGTATGATACAATTTCGCGAGAATTACACCACAGCCACTCAGGCTAGTGCCTGGACCATAGGTAGCAGAACGGGCAAGAACTGACAAGGCGAGAAAGCGGTCTAGATACAATAATTACATACATAAATATGGATAATCTGCGTTCTGTTGGAAACTGAATCTCTTATAGATCTCAGGGTTAGGGTTCACAGACAACTCTCGTCTGAGAGTTCACCTTAATCATACTATATACAAGCGTCTGCATAAGCCATATACCTACCTTTTCACATACCGCCATAACTTGAAAATTGGCTAGCTTCTAGAGATCAAAATTACTTGTATGGGAAACTTCTGATGTAGATCAATGCCATTCAACCAATCACTCGAGTGATAATCCCTGGCCGGAGATAGCCAATTTTTCGAGTTTTGGCGGTATCTGCTTCTTATTTCCAATAAGCTACACCGAGACGTGGGGTCCTTCTGCGCCGTTTGCATTCTTCCTGTTTGAGCCGCAGCACGTGATATGTTACTATTTTTGGTGCTGTAAAACGCGGTGGAGGTTTGTGATATGGTGGGCGTTGGCCGGCTGTTGTGTTCACTCTCTTGTTTCTTTTCTCCTCGACGACGATACGAGATGAAAATACGTAGAATGAACAGAACTTGAATTATAGCAGAACAGACGCAATGATGTATATTGATGATGATGAGAAAGGAAAGACCGTAGCTAGCTAGACATAGAGGCCGTTGCCCATACGGACACCTTTACACAAAGGGATTGTTCTGTACAGTTCTCTGACTAATGTATGACAAATCGTCCTCCAGCAAATATGCCCGACAGCGTCACGATATCGGGGTCGGTCTTGGCACATGTAAAATCTCCATCAGGTAAATCATCACCTATTTAGGTGTTTTTGAGCTCACAGATTGCAGATCAACGCCCTTTTGGTAATAAACCGAGTGCTTTATGGAGATGGACAGGGGTATTTTTAGTGGATTTTGATCTGGCGTTAATTTGTATGGGTAAAAATTGACATGTCTCCCTACCAAACTGACCCAACTTCAAAGTCTACCTCCTCAACCACAACACAAGATAATTAAAATTAAAGGTCGCAGAATAATTATCCTCTTGATTCTCTATCATTCTACGGCCTTTAATCAAAAATATATTGTGTTGTGGTTGAAGGGATAGATTTGGCGTTCATGTACTTTTACCGGCCCCGATATCGTGACGCCCACCATACAAGTATCGATGCGTCGTCGGCGACGACGGACAGGGTGGCACCTTATTCTACGCCGCGGCCGGTCAGAAATAGGATTGTGCTATGTACAGCCGCATTTGAAAAGTATTGGCACCTTCGAGCCAAACTCACGAGGCAGTCCTTTCTGCTTTTCAACCCCCATATTCAAGACAATTGCCAGAGAGAGCTGCCATGTCTCTATTGCGGTCATACCTATCAATAAGTTGAGTATGCGCGAGTGCCATGGATTTTGGTGGGCTACAATCCATGAACGACTCAATGTAGTAGGGTGCCAGTACTTTTCGAATGCGGCTGTACATAAATGTACTTACAATACTACATGTATACTCGGAGAGCTAGAGTCTCATCAAACAATTAAAGGCATGGCGAGACCTAAGTATTGGCTCATTCTTCCTGTAGTACCTACCCGGGCTGAGCGCGTGTGGTAAGGGTGTAGAGGGCGTATGTGCGGGTATTGAGGGTAAGTGATCAGAATCTGAGAAGTGAATGTTGCGGTGAATACGAGTATTTTGTCTTATGAGATTCTGATCACCTTTTGCAGCACCCTAGTACTACTATGTGCATGTAGGTGCAACGCCAGGTAAGTGAGTGTTTGACATCTGAGTTGTCCATTAAGTTGGCATCGACATTTAATTTACAAGGAAGTCTGCATCTGTCTGGCTAGTATTACACTCGGCTCATGGGTTCCCGAGCCCTACACAACGTCCCCCTAAAATGATCAGTTTTCTTCCATACTTTTGAATGTTTTTAAGATTTGGCTATAACGTATCCCAAAATAATGATCCCTCGAGCCACGAAGGCACCGCACTGCATGTTAGTGGCACTACTGAAATTATAACGATTGACCAGCTATAGAAACATTTCACGAAACTGCAAGCTTGAGCCGCTTAGTTATGGTACTTCTTACAAAATAAGTGCTCTTGTCCGGGAGCAAAAATAGTACACCTATGTTTATGTAAAAGTGGTTAATATACGAGCCCGTTTATCATTATTGGCGGTCAAATATAATACGAAAGGATTATTTACTCACTTTACAAGCAGTTTGAATGATAAGCTAATACCCCTTCCACGTTTATAGTACTTTTCTTCTGTTCAAATTATTTTTCACTTTTTGAGATGTGCTAGGAAAACTCGTGCTATGCGCAATCAGTTAGGGATAGTTGAATCGATCGAATAGGATCCTAAGGCAATATCTAATTACCTCTATTTCCGCCGCATAAATCTTCCGCACCTGCTTACGATCAACGAGTAGCTCGCGATGCATGTTTTTGCTTTCGTCCTTTTCTTTCTGAGACCGGGAAACCTTTGGAAGTTCATCTTTCACCAAAATTATCCCTCCGATTAATTCGAAATCCATAATTCCATGGGACCTAGCATTAGCATTTAACTGATTAAGTACCAGCGTATTCACGGGCCGGGAAAGTAGAATTTCATCTATCTGCATTCCAGGGGTTTGATTTGGTAGATGATAATCACAGAACCTTCTGAAATGAGTCTCATTGACGGCTAAGGATTGTTTGAGATATCAGTTAGAAAAATAAGAAGCACACCTGAGACTTTCGGTTGATAGAGAAAACGTGACGTACCGATTACAGCAAGTGGTTTTGGTTTTCTGCCAGAATAAATGATGCAACAATCTTGAACCAGACGACATTTCCTGTACGCTGCCTCTATGGATTCAATGGGAACATAATCCCCACTATATCTCCTTTCCAAAGAGTCCACATTACCGATTATCGTTGGGCCTGGGCATCTTTTGTACGGATCCCATTCAGCTAAAATGCCAGTTTTAACCCAACCCTCATCTAGAAAGGCGGCGAGAGAAGCTTCGGGGTTTTTAAAGTAGCCCATATGTGGTACAGAAGGTCCACGAATGAAAATCTCACCACATGGTGGACTTGAAAGAGCAGAGTAGCGGGGAGTTACAGACACAAGTTTTATCTGCAGTGACGGTAGAATCATGCCAGTGTTCTTATTATTGTACCGGGATGGTGGCATAAATGTGACCATTCTAGGTTAGTAAAGTTAGTGTCTTATAAACGTAAAAAAGCAGAGATTAAAGAAACTAACGTGCTCATTGCCATAAATGAGAATACTTCGACCATCCGGCCACTTGAAGACAGGACTGCTCCGAGGAATTCCCTCTTCTCCCGAGCATGCATTGAACAACTGATCCCAAGCCATCTCATACGGGTACCAAAAAACATCTCGCGGATAGGTTTGAGATAAATGCTTCTTTCTAACGCACATATTGTCATTTTAGATAAAACCCCTATAGGGTCTGTAATATGCTCGGCCTTCTGCTCAGCTGATTTCCAGAAACGCTCTTGCCAATCATTGCTATATCCTTTGATCTTTTCTAGGACATGGCCATGTATCGTATCCCACCAGGCAGGAATTCCAAAGAGAATAGAGGGCTCAAAGGATTCAATATCGCCACTACATTCCATTGTGAGATCGCTGTACGGGGGAGGTAGAAGATAGAGAACGCCATTAGTTCCGAACCCGATTCTCACGCCAAGTAGTAAAAATGCATTAAGAAGGTTATATTCAAACGTAAATGCCAGTGGAAGATATGAAAGGTAGGTATCCGACCTATTTGTCGAGGTTTTGAGGATTTGATGAATGTTTGCGACTATTTGAGTGAGACCTAACTGAGCGGAGTGAATAATTCTCAAGGGAAGCTTGACTTACTACTGGCAACCATGTTTCCTACAGTGATTAGGACACCTAGGGGATTTTTCTTTCCGTTTGATAGAGGGTAAACAGTTCCCCATATTCTCTCCCCATCTGATTGTTTCTGTCCCTCATACTCAGACTCCCTTGATTTGCTGTTGGTCGTGGATTCTGATTCACACTGTAGCATAGCTTTCCCCAGGTCATGTAACTGCTCTAGGCTTATTATCTTAAGGTATACTCCGAAACTAGTTTTTAGGCCTGCAATGCAAGCCTCCGTATTCTTGATGTCTTCTGCGGAGGTAGTGATTTGCTCGTAGATGATCGTGGACACATTCGGACACTCAAACAATATCTCCGATAGAATGCCCAGAAGGTCGCTATCCACGAATACCACTCTCCCGTGTGTTTGAAGCAAAATCTCAACGATGATCCACTTGTCGGAATTTGGATACATTGTTACTAGGGGAATATTGGACACTGAGGCAGCATGACTGAGCATGAACCAATTCGCGCTGCTCAGGAGAGTTAGACACAACATCGACGGTGGACATACGTAGACAAGTGGGGGCAGACCTATTTCTGCCAAACATATGTAATCTCCCTTTCACAACCTGCATCAAACCGGCCGATAAAGTTAAAACTATCTTGCCGACCTCATTGTACGTTAAGTATTTCCATTCCCCCACAGTTACAGCCCTCACTGTCTGGGCGCTGTCCTCAAGCGGAGGCCCACCTGTATCTTGTCCTCTTACTCGTGACTGGGGCCCGCCGGTCCCCCGACTGGCAACCTTTCTGGAAGCAAAACAACGTTCATCTCCATATTTGGAGACTGCAAACGAAAGTATCGCAGAAAGAGTGTTGAGCTCCGGTTTAGATAGTGGCGTCTCTGAGTAATGTAGGTCTTGTGAAGGGCTGATGTTAAATGGGGGGGTTTCTGTAGGAGGGGACGGTGTTTTCTGTGAGGACTCTTGTGAGGATAACTCTGAAGCCGGGCCTATGAGGCATCGCGACTCAGGGCCAGAAGGCAAACGACTGAGGAAGTTTATGTTGTCCATTGAGAACCTCTGTATGAAGGCCATCTTCGAATAGAATACGTGTCGGGAGAGATAAAAAGGGGGGAACCTCTAAATGAGGAGGAAGGAGGCGCGATGAACGACTTTAGAGTAGGGTAAAAGGACGTTGAGTTGTGATGACATATGGTGGATCTTAAGATTTACCGGGGGAAAGAAAAAGACAGCAAATGGGGGCTGTTGGCGAGTGATATTCCATGTCTGGGGTTTAAGCGCTAATGAAAAGGTTAGGCGTGGCACACTAATCACCAAGCTCGGCGCACACGTACTCTCAATACCCTTATTCATAGCAAATACATACCTGTACCCAACTTTCTTAATACGCTGATTCTTATTGTGTCCAATATGATATATGTATCTACAGGAAGGAACCACCATCATGCATGGGTGCTATGAGGCTGATTCACCTCTCCCGTACTGGTAGGGCTCTAACATTTGGATAAAGCTTTTTTTGCTTGAATAGATTATTCTCTATAGCTAGCTGCGCAATTACTATTGATTCCTCCTTAATGTCGGCCTCCACCATTGGAAGTATCCAGCATGCAAAAACATCCGGATACATTATCCATCAAAAATTAACGTTATCACCATTTCAGCATCGTCTCCTTACTGCAGAAATACAGTCACAGACGTGTGACTTCTAGCTTCTTATGTCTTCATCTTACGCAGCCTAATTAGCTCACGTATCTCTTCGGCTGAGAGGGCAGTAATTATACCCTGATCTGTTACTTCCCAGCGGCCTGCCAGACGGCGCACGCTAATCCGGTACTTCCTTTTCAGATAAGTGATTTTGAAGGACGTTAGAACAGTCTCATCGACATCTAACATCCACTTCAAAAGAGGGATCCACTCAGAAATGCCGAACGCCGTTCCCCCAAGAACTATAGCTTCTTGGTTATCACGGGGATCCTTGTTTAAAATGCCGAAATGCTCGACCTTTGCTCTGCATAGATGGCAATCGATATAGACTGGCGGGTACTCGCCGTGCAACTTACCCTCAAACTTTGCCTTGAAAATACCCTTCAAACAGCGTATGCACGCTGCATGAGGGCACAATTTGAACTTCATGGTTACTTCATGGTGGCCCATGCAAGCAGCACACTCCAGATCCGAAGGGATGTCTATATCACTAGTGTCGGAGTTCGCTTCAAAAGCGGACTGGGCCAACAGTCGTCCACTATGATTTCCACTTATCCTTTTTGGTGCGGTGCTTAAGGATTATTCGAGGGTGCTGTCGTGGTTTGTTTGCTCGGTTCTTCGACTGGGTTGAGATATGGTTCTAGTAGCTGGCGGACAAAGATCTCTTATATCATGATTTCTTGATTCAAACTTTTGGAATTCCGCTTTTGAAATGAGTTTTTCAGCGAAGAGGTGTGTAAAAAAACAGAGGGTTTTGCTAGTCTTGAAAGTAGATATATAGTAAGCACGAAACCTACATTCTAGATCTCTTTCCAACTTGATATCGTGCAAGCTTCATGCGCTCAAGTAGTTAATACAAGCAACTTGAAGAATTGATTGGTTGATTACTTCATTTAATTAGCGATTGGAATTCCCCCCCATGTCGCAAGATCACTTCCACGTTTACCGAGGATTGCTAAATAAAATATTTGATAGTACATACAATGGTACCGAGTCACTATATTCAGTTTGTAGTGGTTTGCCATGATGGAGATGGTAAGAGACAAATAATGTTTCTTGGTCATGACATATCGGGAAAGGGTACTGTTGATACCATCCTCATCCCATCTCAAACTGACATAACAGACATATATGTATCTGTCAATCTTCCCCGCCGCCAACTCATACCCTTTCCAACAAAATGAAATAAATACAACGTACGCCTTAATCCTACTAGAGACCCAGCCACCGACATGGAAAACAAGGAAAGAAAATCGCTCAATCCCGAGATAAACAATGAGTTAAATACAAAGGAATAAAATTTACAAAATCATGAACATTTCCATAATTCAATAGGATAAGCTCGTAATCGATTAAATCGCTGATGGAAGAAAAAAAAAGAAAAAGAAAAAAAAGGAGTAAGAAACAGAAAAAATGTTGCTGTTCTCATACGTCATCACCTGCGTTTATGCATCTACCTCCCATGCTTGTTCTCCCATCGATCTAACCTCCTGTTGACTGCTCCCAATAAAACTTTTAGTATCCACTCTCCGTCGACACCACCTCCCTCTCTACCTTCCCCTTCTTTTTGGCCATCCGGATAAGGCGTATAATCAACCATATCCCTGATGCCATATATTTCTGCTAATGCATCATCTAGATCCTCTAGCGCCTCCCGAGCACCCTCCTCGTCACCAATCTGGAAGAATTGAATCCCAACCTGGTGCAAAGGCGCGTTAAGCATATCGAGTCTCCTAGCGGCATCAACAATTACACTTTCTGGATCATCCGTTGGCTCGCCGTCAGTCAGAATGATGATATTGAGTGGCTTGGGATACTGAGCAGTATTGAACCCCGGAGAAAGGGGCGTCATAGGTGGTGATCCAGGAGCACTTGTCCGGACAGCGGCGTATGAGTCCAGATAATCCCTTAGAATGCGGTCTAGACACGCAGCGATAGGAGTGATTCCGCCAGGTTGGACACGATCGAATAATCGGTGCACCTCCGCGGCGGATTTGACATTCCGTGCATCGTACTTTGTTGAGTTAAGAAAATGTATATCGATACCATCAGTATCATACTTTGTGGCAATGGTCGCGATGGTTTCGAGGGCGATCCGAGTATCAGACCAGCGGGTGAAGGCCTCCATGGAGGCAGAATCATCAATTATAAAGACAGTATCGAAGGATCGCAGAAAGTCGTATTGATTTTCACGCACACTATTTCTACCAAGACCCCTTCGGGATAAAGTACCACTTGTTGCAGAGTGCCGCTTAATTTTCACATGGATCTCGCCGTGTCCACTTCCATGCCCGCTACCATGCCCACGTTGATGTTGGGATCCATTCCCATTCGCATTTATATTCACGCCCCCGCCGCTACTGCTGAAACTCTTTCCCGAATCTTGTCGCTGGGGTTGTTCGATTGTCCATGATCACTGCTCCCAATCTCAATAGGTTCCGGTTCAGAACTCAGCTCAAATGTTCCAGGGCGGGGGTCGAAATTGGTACGGTAACGGTGGAGTAGACTGTTTTGGTCCGGCTTACCAATACCGATTTTTGATACCGCATAGTCGATATAATCTTGGCCGCTCATTTCACCACCAGAAGTTGGAGGGGTTTGTGGATATGGCGGGGGTATCGAGCCAGTGCGCGAGAAGCCTGGGGGCGCAGGCGTTGAAAAACTAGGATGTGTGTTTGAACGGCGAGCTTGCTCAAACGGAGAGGGTGTTGGTGGTGTAGCAGTGATCATTGGCGTACTTGGAGCTTCAGAGTTTCAGTAAATGAATTCCAGGGGCGAATCCTACGGGGAAGGGATTTAAAAACTTACTACTACCACTTCTATTCCGATTCCCACCAATGATGATTCCCATTGAAGAACCGGAAGATGGTGGGGAATTCGATAATGTTTTTGACATATCTATGATTTGCAAAGAATCGGGCAATGGGTATTGCTGGGATGTTTGAAATGGCTCGGGCATCTGAAGTGGTTCCGACGTTTGGCCCTGCATCGGCACTTCTATTGGCGCGGAAAGCACCGCCGCTCTAAGCTCTGCTGGAGATGTTTCGGACCTTTCCGATCGATGTTTCCTCGACTTTGACGAATGTTTCCGCGGTGGGCTGTCGGATCGCGACGAGCTAGAGTGTGAATTCGAATGTCGCGATGAATTTTCCCTGGCCGGTGCCGTTGATGAAAGCTCCGATCGCGATTTATGTCTTCTGCTTTCCTTTTCACCACCGGCTCTAGAAGTACTCTCGGTCCTCGATCTATGTTTCCGCGACGACGAGGACGACAACTCTTTATCCGATCGCGACTTGTGCCTTCTAACTTCCCCCCCGAGATCAGGTTTAGATGTGTGGCTTCTCCCAAGCTTGGATGATTTTTCGCTCAAAGGTGGTGGTGCGGGGAGCCGGGGATCTGCAGTTATCGAAACGGGTCTGTTTCCACCAGTTGGCGAAACTGAATAATCCTTCTTGCGACGATGGAGGTGAGGATGACGGTGCGGGCTCTGTCTTCGATCTTCCTCTGTATCATCACTGCTGCCACCCACAAAGGAGAGGCGCCGAAAGGCACTCATAAGATATTGGGAAGACAGCTTGAATAGTGTGTGGTCTAAGGCCTGGTATGTATAATTTTTCCGTTCCTGATAGCTGCAAATTTGTGATTAGAATCGATCTTAAGAGGCGCAGCACTGTGTTATGTGGGTTTCCTGTACTATATATAAGTCTCGGTACCTCTTGAGTGGAGATCTGGCGACGGGTAAGTGTTTGATAAATGTTTTGTATAACTGTACACAGCAACAGCGGGGAAGGGGAGGGGGGGGGAGGTGGAGATGAGGGTTGTGGGAGTATTTATCACCTATCCAGCCAGGACTTATTTACCAGCAACAACCAAAACAACAACATGCTGTTGTTGCAGCCGCCGCTGCACCACATCGCCAGTGCTTTTTTTTTCTCTCCCTCTTAATTCCTAATTCCTCTGGGCGAGTTATGTGGGTGGGTTGTTCTCGTCATATTTGTTTCTGAGAGCTGCAGCTAATTTTCTAACCTTGCTAGTTTTGGGGTGAAAATAATAATAACAGCTCGGATATTATTACATGGGCTGGGGGGTAGTGTGTGGTGGGTGATGCCGGGCAAAATATTTGGGCTTGCGTGTGATTATGCGATTGAGGTTAGGGTTGGTTGGTTGGTTGTCTGTTGAACTTATTGTTAAGCAGCCGGAAATCGGGGCTTACAATTGGTCCACAGAGACCGCGGGCCTACTAGGTACTCTACTTTATCTTCAAACGCCGTAGCGAGGCTGATTTTGTTATGTCAGATATACCGAGACTATTGGGCGAGAAATCCCTCCGGGCACGTAACCCCAGTCCTTGGAATGCATGCACATACCAATAGGGCGCTTTACTTCACAACCTGGATGTCGAAAGAGGGTGAATGACGGACCTCAATTCTTCCAGAAGCTGACATGGAACTTTAAGCACGAGTGATAAGTGCAGTTGGATAAAATAAGGCAGCAGCTGTCATTTCATTAATGTCATTGCATTTATCATCCAGCGATGCATCTAGACAGTAGAAAGTCTAGAGGATTAAGGGAGAACACGTTTCTATCCCCCTACCCAACCATGTCTGGGCTTGGTATCGTTGACTGCAACTGGTGTGTAGGTCATTCAAACTTTAATGCTTTCTTTCTCAGCGCTGCTCTTTACTTCATTCCTTACCAGGGCACACCTAGTTTTCATCAATTCGTCCCATAATCATGTGGTCTACAGGCAAAAAAAAGGTTTAAAACTTGAGACAAACAGCCTGGCGTCTCTCTGATAGAAAATGGTTGCTCCCAAACAGAGTGGATCAGACTAAGCTGAGCTGACGAATCCGTGACCGCGAGAAGTGCTAAAGTTGAAAAAATAGCAGCACTTTGACGCCTATCTGCCAGTACCAAAAAACATCCGTCCTGTATATAATCTCATCTCGGCCCGTATGGATGTGATCTTGTGTGCATTGAAAACCCAGATGGCTCATCAGGTAAATGTATGCAGCTAAAGTCACTAGCTAGCTGCGGGAATACATCCAGGAACAAGATGTCCGCAATTTACGTCACATATTTTTCAAACTTTATCTAGCTGTCATGCCGACACACACATTTTCCAGCATCGGCCGGTCGGCATAAAGCGGCCATGTGACGCCTCAATCTATCCGGAGTTCGGAACAACCACCACCTGCATCGGATTCTTCGGAGCGGAACTCGGCTGCTTGCCAAGGCTTGAATTTATGTGAAATGACGGGTGCCAATTGTATTCAAGGATTGGCTGACTCATTTACTGCATGCAGCATGCCATGGATTTAGCGCTGTTAACTAGACTTTGGGTTTGTGCCAATCAGATTTAGGTATGGACTTTCTACTGATTGAGGCTGTAGAACTCTTTCGCCTCAACTAGCTCTTGCTACTTACTGGGCGTGAATTGACTTCTATCATGAAACTGGTGCGGCAATCTAAAGTGGTCGTGGGTTAGGTTTACTTCAAGGCTGACCAGAAGAAACGTTCCATGCTCCTGGTGATCGATTATTTAGAGTTCTCACGCCCCTCATGATCGGCGGTATGGTTTCCTGGGACTGTGCCTACTCTAGGTACCTACATAACGTCCTGCATACCTGGTATTAAGAACAGCGTGTCACCGGATACGAACCAGAGGGCATATATACATCGGTTCTATAACGTAGTTGCGTATTTCCGACGCCTTGATTATGGGAGAGTTTAAAAAGCTTATCTGAAATCTGTTCATCCTAGCTGACTGCAGCTTGCAAGCAAGGCTGACTCTGATCTGAGCCCGGTAGTTACGCCCCTATTGGTCAGCCTCAGTTGTTTCACTTATAGGTGTGGGGGAGTCGATGAAGAAATGGGGGGGTGAGTAGAACCGAATTCACTCTATGTGGAGTTATAGGTTCTAGAACGGGTAGCTATGCGTCGAGAAAGCTTTATGATTGCCATTTTCATATTGAAAAACGGGGGGCTTCTAGAACCTAAGTGTGACACGGCTGCATGTTATCATATTCTCCAACAAGAGACAGATGCTGCTACCCGCCGAAGAGAAATCGCGGGGCGAAAGGCGCAAAGCCCGTTTCGTGAAGCTCCATTTCATGAAGCTATATAACATACTTAACTCTGCTTGCGGACTGGTTCGCATCGTCAAGGAAGCCTACATCGTCAAGCCTCAGCTGAGAAGCCGCAGAAGAACAGTGGCCAGATTATTCCAGATTTCGCCCTTTGCTCAAAACCCCGAGCAAGGCTGCAGGCACATTTCCCCCAAGCCCGTGTAACCAGCCTTAATCATGAGAGTGTTGCACAAAGAGATCTGGAAACGGCGACAAGCTGATGGGGCTTATTTTTTATATAGATGATAGCATTGCATTCCGATGGTAGTAGGTATAACCTTATATAGCGAGGGCGGGGTATCATTTGAGAATCTGTGCTCCCACTCTCGGGGGAGTAACAGAACGACACTTTAATATCAGGAAAGGAGTAATGACATGATTTAATTCGGGAGTGTGGAGAAGATGAACGTTCATTCCAATCCCGATATTATGGATTATGGGCGGGACCCTGCACATGCACTATTCACGAGAGCGTTATTAATTATCTCTGCAGTAGATATTATAAATATCTTGGACCCCCACTGCTCTGATTCTATCATAGAGAAATTCAGGATGGCTGCTTGCATTCATGTACCTCTTTAGAGAGTCTCGATAGCGTTAATATATATTTTCTTCTACTGCAGGTAGCAGTCCACTTGACCGTTTGGGGTATGTATCGAGAGAGTGCCGATGCCGTCATACAACTGAACTAGTATAAAATATGATGGTCTAGGTGAAGATAGTTTTTTGGCTAACTTAAGTCAGCGAAATTTTGGAAAGAATTGAGTTCCTATTATCGTATCATACACAAACGCATTGCCTGACCAAGGCCCGAAATATACACATGAAACTAAACCGTGAATTGCGTTTCAAATAAATACATAAAACGGGCATCAAAATTAAAGCAGTTCGGAACAATCCTAACCCCCACTGTGAAAAATAACCAGTTATTCTGTCCATGTTTATTAACCCCGGCTCTTGAGAAGGGAGCGAGATATATTATACCTGTATGCGCATGAAGTAAGGATTGAGTAGGATATTATAGCTTGTAATTGTTAAGTCAGGATTGCTGCGGGGCCGCGGGGTTGGACAAAGTAATATAGTTTCAAGAATTCTGCATCATACAACGCTAACTGTACTGGCCTTATCCATGAGCCTATGTCGGGAAGATATTATAAACCATGACTATCTCATCTCGCTATAGTGACTGCTACACTCTCTCAATTGTCATCAGGGCCGACATACATCTGATATATATGGGCTGCGTTATCAATACTGTCTCGCTAGCGCTATTAGGTTTTCTTTCTAAAACTCAAACCAGGCTGCAAATGGAATATCCGCGGAGATTTGGACCGTATGCATTTACGTATCATTTAGTCTGAGTAGGACTCACAATTCAAAATTTATCTCCGGCAAGTACCTTGAAAATCATGTATTAGAGGTGCCGAAAATATATTTGACCGCCTAAGCTAGCCGGATTGAGAGAAATCCTTTATATTTGGTGTCAATTCAGGATATAAGGAGTTTATAAAATCTTGGAACCCGAACCCTAACCCTAACAACAGTCTAAAAAATGAATTCAAGGGCTAGTAATAACTGATTAAGGACTCGAGTTTCAATGATTGTCCAAGTCAAATTGAGCTTCTCATCCTCCTCTTCTAGAGCCGTCTTGCTGATCGATCATAATAAGACTCTGACTCAGACGCCGAGAACATGTGGGTTTTGAAGACTTTGGGTGAGATTGAGTGGTAATAATCCTGCCATGGGGGTCTTTCATGCGTGAGACATAGTCCAGTTAGCCTTGGATTGAATGAAATACGGAATCTAATAATGTCGTACCGATGTCAAGGTGTCTTTAAAAAGCTTTGTTTGAATACGTATAGAAGCTTAGATATTAGTGTATCATCAACAGGAACATTAATGCTAATGAAAGAGCACTGCGGTGCATGTCAAAGGCGCCCCCGAGAGATCGAAAATTTATACATAAGAAAGCTATAAGTCATTGCCATACCTATGAGAGAAGAGTTTGGGGAAGATGCTGTCTTGTTATAGTATAGGTTACCGGTTACGTGGGTCGTACTCACAAACTCGAGTCGGCCAATTCAATGAAGTACTAAGATCCGAGGGATATCGTGGCTGGTATCAATATTTGATGGGAAGATGAAATATAATTAAAGAGGGCCGGTGGATACCTTTAGGACAAGGAATAATTATATATCGCTTTCTGCTCCTATCCATGATCGATTATCCTTTATTTTTTATCGAATACTTGGGCGCTTTTCTTTGGCTAGTAGCGTTTCGATCTTTTGCTTGATTAATTGAATGCGTTACTTTTATAATATAGTGATTCTAAAATTAAGGCGATTCAGGTCACCGCTAGTGCGGGGTCATTTTCCGGGGGTACGGTGCAAGCTCTCAGGACTTTATAAAGCTCCCAATTAGAAGCGTATTTGTCCCAGATGAATGAAGAAGTATAAACTCTGACGAGATATACACCCAGAGAATAGCCGTAGGGCTTTCATAGCTAGGCGCAAGACGGACTCTACTCTCTGTAAGAAGTCGAAGCAAAACGAAAAAGTCCACTCTCTATGCTCTGTTTTTGTATCTCGCAAACCGCCGTGAAAAGATGATTCGCCGCCTTGTTTGTTTTTCTTTTTCTGTTTTCTTTTTGTGATATATATCCGGGTACCGTTGTGGTATATAGAACTCAATATACTACTCTAGATTAGCTTCGATATTCTCTAACCAAACTGTTCCCGATGTACTCTGATGCGATTCCCTGCTGAAACTGGGAGTAATAGTAGTTATATGGAAAAGACTGAATCTGCTCCAGTCTACGTAGTAGCAGTGCCATACAATCGAACCGGAAAACAGAGGGGAGAGGAACGAATACTCGCTGTATGACAGGGCTACACCCATCCGCTCCTGCCAATGATGGATTATCCTTGATATCTGTATCAACAATCTAGACCTAATGATCCACATACCTCATTCGAGAGTCAGGGACAGCTTTTCCCACTTTGATATTTCATTGACCCCCTCATATCAACAATTCCAATCACCAATACATGTATTTTTGTAACCACCATCGGCCACGGCCGCCGTGCGGTCTCCTCACAACCTATCCCGGAAATATAACCTGCGTCCATCTGGGCGTTTAGGCTCAGCGCTGCCATCGCTCTTAATATGTAGAGTAGAGAGCACGCCGGGGACGAGCAGGAAGGATACGGGGCGGTATGTAGGATCGTAATTGATTACTGCTTTTTCGCGACCACATAGCTAGTTGTGTGTATCTAGGCCCTGCCGTGGTAGAATAATAGGTGACGTTCAGTGGATACTCTTCTGAGTCTTTCATATTTGAATATTGATTGTAGGTGCTGCGTCCGGAGCTTTATATAAAGGAGATCCAAGGTCGAGAATATCGAGTAGGAAGAGGTGATTAAGAGCGTGTAAAATAATATCTCTATATACCTTAAGTAGCCAATAGAAAAGTGCCAATTGTTTCGGGGGTTTATAGTGCTGTTTCGAGGGCTTCAAGTCCGAAACGATAAAAATATCAGAGTCTATATATATGAATTCGAACGCCTGCAGACCCTCTAATTCTCTGGCAAGTCATCCGGTAATAGTCGCACTTGTTCGATACGTATCTCAGAGACCGCACATTGTCTGGAGATCTCTCCCGCGCCATTGAGACATTCCCATATGTTTGAAACAATATTGCTCTCCCTCCAAACTCCGGGCCTACATCGGACACGTCAGTAACCCTAACCCACAGAGCTCAAAACCCCCCTGATAGCCCACAAAATCCCACCACCACGTTAGAACCCCGACCACAATTGAAAACACCTGGAATGGCCACCCCCCCAATGGATACCCCCGCGATGGACACCCCCGCGATGGCCACCGTCCCCCCCAGCTTCCTCTCCCTCATCGACGGCGTGACGATCGGGTCCTTCCTGCTCGTCGCGCTGCTGCTCTTCCTCGCCTACGCGCTCTCCGTGTTCCTGCTCCCCCGCGCACGAGCACCAAGCTGCGCATCATCTTCATCTGGCACCTGTTTGACGGGCTGATCCACTTTGTCTTTGAGGGCAGCTTCCTCTACTACTCGTTCACGGCGCGGGCGGCCACGGGGCTGACGGGGCCGAGCTCGCACGTGCTCTGGGGCGACAGCGCGGTCGCGTATGGCGCGCGACACTCGCAGGCGCCGCTGGCAAAGCTGTGGCAGGAGTATGCAAAGGCGGATTTCAGGTGGGGGGAGAGCGATATCTGTGTGGTGGCGCTGGAGCTGCTGACGGTTTTTGTGGGGGGGCCGCTGGCGCTGTGGATTTGTGATATGGTGAGGAGGGAGGATCAGAGGATGTGGTTCTGGGTGACGGTGTTGGCTACGGGGGAGCTGTATGGCGGTGAGTGTGCGGGTGCGCGGTGCGGTGCGGTGCGAGGGTGAGCGGGTGCTGACTGAAGACATTGGTGTGCGGGTGTGCAGGATTCATGACATTTGTGCCCGAGTGGCTGACGGGAAGCCACAACCTGGAGACGAGCAACTTTATGTACAAGTGCGTATATGTGTTTCTGGTGTTCTGTCTGGATATATATATTCCCCTCCCTGCCTCTCTTCTCAACTCCTCTCTCTCCACTCCTCTTTCCCCCCCTCCGCATCTCTCTAAATCTACACCCCTCTAGAACCCCTCTATCTGATTGATTCCCCCACTAACCTTCACCCCCCCCCCCCCAGATGGGTGCACCTCTTCTTCTTCAACACAATCTGGGTGTGGATCCCGCTGTGGCTGCTGTACGAGGCCTACAACACGTTCCTGCCCGCGCTGCAGCTGCAGGCCATGGTCAGCACCGTCTCGGGCACTGCGAGTGCGCTGGGCGGGGCCACCTTTGGCGCCGACAGCAGCGAAGAGGAGGAGGAGGAGGAGGACAGCGAGGGCGAGGGTAAGAAGGCGAAGTAGCGGGTGTGCGGTGTGCGGTGTGCGGTGTGTGTTTGGATATATGGCCCGGGTGTGTGTGTGTGTGTGTGAAAGAGTGGTTGATACCTGGAGCGACGTGGCATGGAGTAGACAGCGAATATCGTAGACTGAATTATTATATTATTACTTGGTTAAGCATAAACATCCCGACCAGGGCCTGTACTTCTGCAGCCGGGCGGTGTGTGGGATTGAGCGCGGGTGCGAGTGCGAGTGCGGGCGCAGGTGGCCGGCGGTGAACAAGACGTATCTTGCAAGCCACCGCCGGGAGACTGCCGCAGCTGCAGATGAACTCCCATCCACGCGGTCCCTCCAGTGAGCTGCATGTTCTCATCCAGCCCCCGCCCGGTTTAGACAACGTATTGATTGTTACAAGTGCCGGGCACTATATGCAATTTCTCTCACCGCTCCTCCCCGCTCTGCTCTCTCTCCTCGTCGGGCACCAGATGCTGGAGCATGCACAATCACTCGGCAAATATTGCCCCCACAGTGCGGCCGAGTGATATTGTGTGATGAAATGCGGTTTTGTAATTATCTGGCATTGCTCTCTCCAGCGCTCCCCCTACCCCTTCTGTCCCCACTCTACGCCCATTACTGAGCAAATAGGGCGGTTGTAATGTAAGTTTGTGAGATGCGCTCATTTGTAGCGGGTTGAGGAAAGCACTTATAGCAGGGCGGAGTGTAACAACTCGGGCGTGGCGTTTGAATTGCATGCTGTTCCATACTGAGCCGCAGGATCTTTTGTGTTAACTTCTATGTGTATCCAAGTCGCGGTATACATATATATTCAGCACAGAGCTAGCTACGATATAAGCTGGCATATGACTTGCGATATACTTACCATGCAGGGTCAAAGATACGGGCTAGTTTGTGCTGGTGACTGACTGCCGGGCCTATATATAAATGATGGGCGCCGCATGACAAGAGTCACAAGCCATGGTCAGACTTTGCTAAGTGACTGCACATGACATCGAGACCAGTCAAAGATGTATATGGAAGGCTTCGTCTGGTTTTCTTCGTTTCGACCATAGAAGCAAATGTTCCGCCGTTCAAGCTGTCTTTTGAACTAATAGCTTGGCGACGAATCGGACGATGCATTTCCCGTGGTGATTGGCCCAAGTTAGCCGGTATATACTTGCTTGCCAGCATATGAACCCGAAAATGCGAGTTCGAAAGCCAAGGATTATTTGTATGGGGTGGCGCCGATCTGCCATACAAAATAGACATTTGCATTTTCAGGTTCATGTGCTTGTAAACAAGTATGTGGCAGTACCACTCGTCGCGAGTTGGTCTTTTTACATCCTGTTATACTCACGTCTCCACTGCCATGCAAACGGTGTCGGTATATGCGTTGGTGTGGAACTTGACTACAACGCTGAGTATCTACTTGTATTCAATTGTCCTTATACATGTGCTTTGTAAGATAAGACTTAACATTGATGTCTCTTCGTTGGAATTGGGCCGGGCATGATCGTCGGCCTAATAGGCACAACTATTCTTATAAACCTCCCTAGCCCTTCTCATGGTTAACCCACACTTTGACGATGGCGGTAGTGAACATCGGAGGGGGGTCTGCTAATAGACAGAATTTGGGAGATTGATTCGAGTCAATAAAAGTACATGTATTAAAGACGGTTGAAACTGATTATGCGGGAGTGCATAGCTGCGTTTGCATGCAAGTAATGAATTAAACAAAAAAAAAAAAGTGCATAGCTGCGTCTAACCCTAACCCTGTGTTCTTTCTCCTAAACTCCCCAACAGGATAGGTACACATTATTTGGAAGTATTAGTGTTGGTATACTCCAGACTGAGGAAAGATTAGTAATTTACAGGTATATAGTAACTTTGATTCTGCTTTGGAACGAGGCGCGGGAGGATCAAAGCTCGAACGGCGCGGGCCGGACCTGTATATAACAAATCAGCAATGTTGTTGCTGAAAGCGTCAATCTATATCTGGCCACATATGCTCTCATCTGATGCCGATTTGTAAATGAGTCTTGATTCGCCAGGGGATGTCCATATGGGGGAATTAGGTCGTTTGGAAAGTCGTATTCTCTACATGGTAGATTCATGTGGGAATCGCATCATATCAGTAATGTAAATGCATATGTGGATGTGGTGGCTTAGGAACTTGTAAGACTGTAGACGACGTTACGGAACCCTAACCCACTAAAAAACAATATTAGAGAAACGAATTAGTCCTAGACCGGCATATCATGCGATCCATTGATTTGCCATAACATATATATCACGAGCTCCCATCTATCCTGGCCGCTTACCGGGTGGGAAAGGCGTTTTTTGGGTGACTTACTTGGATTTAGAACTTTACTTGCCATACAGCCTTGTGGATGACATTTCTAGAGAGGTCGCCAGTAAGGATATAAGATTCTTTAAATGCCTTAATAACAAGACTACTGCATTAATTCGTTCGAATGGCTGGTCACACAAGATGTCGAAGTTGCCCCCCCAAGCTAATATGAGGGAAGATTAGGGGGCGTATTCAAGACAAATAACCAAATACGGGAATTTCAACGTCTTGTGTGACCGGCCGTTCGAACGAATTAATGCGGTATTATAGTCGGAAGCATGTAATAGGTAAGCCATAGATAGATATATAATTTTATGCCCTTTTCACTCTCATTTCTATATATGTATTGGAAAGACGATAAATGGTTGGTTTCCTGCGCTGTTGGAAAAGTTTGAAATGTATTTGCGGAGTCGGGGGCGAATGATCAACCAGGAACGGCATGGATACAACTTTGCAATTTGGTGAATATTCGGCCTGGGCCTGGGCCTCTTGGGATCCGGATCACAAACCAAAACACTCAGAGACCGAGATATGCGCGATTAGGATCGAAGGTACCGGTTAGTTAAGCCGTTTTTTTTTAGTGACCTTGTAATATACATACCTCTCCAAAGCATGATCAGAAGCACATTAAATTTATATACGTTGATTGGTAACGCGCATTCTAATATACAGCTTGCGGTAAGATTATTGTAGAAATATGGGAGGAGTCCTATTGGCTTGCCCAGCCACAGAAAGCCTGTTTTTAGACCCCTGTTTCTACAATAATTTTACCTCTCGCTGTACTCCATCACGGCGGTAGAGTGGCTTATTGCAATATATGTTATGCGTCTCCAATGATTGAGGCACCGATTGTGGATGTGTATGTAGGACATGCAGCGCAGCTTGCAAGTTTTGAGTCGTTGCCGGCTCGTTGGCATTGACATGCAGCCGCGACTGGGCTTGCTGTGTAACTTATAATATTAGGATATTCCTATAATAATAAACTCTCTGTCCTGGCTAAGCTTTGGTCGGGTTGGCACGGATGCTGATATGCACAGAGTGCGGACAGCATGCTAGCCAGTTGGGTTTGGGAATGGCATGTTTGCTCTGCATTCTCCCAGGGATTCCCTTTGACCCTTCGGGTGCCTTTTGATTTTGCTGTTCACCACCTTTTTGACCGGTGTCTAGCTACACTAGATAGAATATTCCAAGCCCCTATTCCGAGCGATAGTTCATGAGGCCATGTATAACCCCGGTCCAGTATTTCCTTGGCGATTGCAACTGAGCAAACCGGATAAGATCATGCTACCACGCATAGAATTGGTTTATTAATTTATTCAAGCGGCTACAATTCTTGCTCTGAATCAAAGTCATGCATGATTCTGCCTGCTTGTTTCTTGCACGTAGGGATTTTATTTAGGAGGAAGCTCTAAAGGGTCCGTCTACAAGGGTCCATGGGCTAAGGCCTTGGAACTTCTCTTCCCCGCGTGTAAAGTAGGGTTTTCGGGGGAGGAGCGAGGGGCCCTGGCATTCTTGTACCAGTGCATCTATTTTGGCCCTACTTCTCTGCCCTGGAAGCGGGTGGCTGCAGGGTGATGCTTCGGGTGTTGCGGGGGCAGGGGAGCTCTGGAAAAGCTTGGCCATGCATGGACGCGAAATCGCCCAACCGACGTCAGTCATGATGTCATCTCCTGCTGTGTGTGTGCTCGCGTCCTTTCGCTCCTTTCCTGCTTGTTCCAGCAATCTCTTTAATTTTATGGAAGTCGGCACAGAGACGCGATATGAGTGGGAGGGAGGGAGGGAGGGAGGGAGGAAGGGAAGGAGGGAGGTAGAGCTCGAGGGAAAGGGGGGCAAAGAACAGAGAATAAAACCTTCACGATGCCCCACACCATCCGTACGTTTGTTGAGAAGCAGTGTCCCATCATTATCATCCATCATATACCAAAAGAGTCAGAGATCTTCGGTGAATTAACAATTTTATTTTTAAAAAAGAAAGCTAGACCATACTTATATACACCTAATCGAGAGCAATGTCGGCCTCGACTTATGTGAAAGATTACCCAGAGCATGTTCATGACCCTTCGAAAACCCATCACCATCTCCACGGCCGTGTGCACAGCAAGGTCTTGCACGATGCAAAGGTGAGGTTAATACACTTCAAGAACCAGCTGGGAAAGTACAAGAATTTGATCAACCCGAACCACCGCCACGACGAGCCTCACGAGCAACGGGTCGACGAGAAGAGGGACAGCATCAGGGAATCGCACAGGTTCACCAGTTTCGCAGACATAAGAGAGGGCAACAATGTAAAGTGGTACATCGATGGCAGAGACTACTTCTGGGTATGTGGAGATCTGGCCGTCAAAGCGTTTGTTGCGCTGACACTGGTTCGATAGGCGGTTTCGGTAGCGTTGGAGAACGCGAAGGAGGTGATATACATTGCCGATTGGTGGCTGTCTCCCGAATTGGTAGGCCCCTTGAACCCTGCACTGGAGATATATCGGGCTAACTGTTTGCAGTTTCTCCGACGACCGCCCCAATTCAACAAGGAGTGGCGCCTTGACAGGATACTGAAGCGTCGCGCGGAGGAAGGGGTGAAGATCTATGTTATTGTGTACAAGGAGGTGATTGCGCCCTCCAATTCCATTCAATCATGGTTCTCGAGAGGACCATATACTGATGGCCCATCAATTACCGATATATAGGTCGCTGCTGCTTTGACTTGTAATAGTGCGCATACAAAAAGCGCGCTGGAGAAGTTATGCCCCAAGGGATCACCCGGTCATGGGAACATTGTGGTTATGCGGCATCCAGACCACTCGCCTTTCGAGCATGCTGCGGACATGACTTTCTACTGGGTAGGCGAAATTTAGCTTCCCCCAGCTATTCACAATTGAGATACTGACGCCAGCTAACCCGTCTAAATCCAGGCCCATCACGAGAAATTCATCGTTATTGATCATAAAGTAGCCTTTGCCGGCGGATTGGATCTATGTTTTGGACGATGGGATCTGAAGCAACATCCCTTGGCCGATGTGCATCCCGGCGGAGTGGCCAACGAGGTTTGGCCTGGGCAGGACTTTAATAATGTGAGCAACTCGTAAAACTCCCCGAGTGAATGTTGACCGGTTTCTAACCAGTTGATCCCAGAATCGAGTTTTGGATTTTCACAATGTACAGGACTGGTATGTCACGTTTGCCAAAAGACTCTTAGCCGAGCAGCACCGCTAACTCCCGCAAAGGGACCAGAACCAGCTGGATAAGAAAGACTATGGTCGCATGCCTTGGCACGATGTTTCTCTCGGTATCATTGGCCCATGCGTCTACGACATTGCCGAACATTTTGTAGGAAGGTGGAACTTTATCAAACGCGATAAATACAAACGACACCCTCGGTACCCGTGGATCGAACTTTCGTTCACCCAGGCCGATCTCCTTGGTGTTGTAAGACCACGATTTCCAGTCGGCGGATTTGTAAAACATCCATTGCACCCCACAGCGGATGCGATCAAGCCAACAGAGCGGGGGAATGGGACATGCAAAGGTCAAGTTGTGAGGAGCGCCAGCGACTGGAGTCACGGTATATTGAAGGAGGATAGCATTGCGAACGCGTACAAGGAACTTATAAGGGGTGCTCAACATTATGTTTACATCGAGAACCAATTCTTCAGTACGTTTCCCCCACAGGTAAGCATACATAGAGTGCAGGCTAACCGTGTTAACTTAGTCACTGCAACCGGGGAGGAACAAGCGCCCATAAAAAACACCATTGGCGCCGCCATTGTAGATGCGGTCTTGAGAGCGGCAAAGGAGGGGCGCAAGTTCCGCGTCATTTGCGTGATCCCAGCCATTCCCGGCTTCCCTGGGGATCTCAGAGACGCGGCGGCGGCAGGAACCAGGGCCATCATCGATTACCAGTACAAGTCGATTTGCCGAGGAGAGCATTCCATCATGTCCCGCATTGAGGCCGCTGGAGTGGACCCAAAGAAGTACATCTTCTTCTTCAACCTCCGCAGCTACGATCGCCTTCACAAGTCGAAAGAGTTGGAAGAGAAGGAGGCTGCTGCTGGAATTCCATACTCAGAGATTCAGCGGGCTCATGCAGCTGATGTGATGGGCGAAGAGGGCGTCACTGGCGGCAGAGGATGGGAAGACACAAGCAGCGAGAGTAGTGTTGACGAGGATGCCGGAGCGCAGTATACGAGCGAGTTACGAGCGAGAAAGGAAAGGTTTGAAAGGTCCGGAAAGAAGGCGAAGAACAACCTGAAGGAGCATGATAGCATAGCAGCAGACGCGATGCTGAACGAAAGGCAGGTGTCTGATGAGGTTTGGGAGGGCGACGAAGCAAGTGAGAGACAGAACTTTGTCAATGAGGAGCTCTATATCCATGCAAAGGTATATACGGTGCAAATCCGAACTTGTTCTGTAGCATCGGGCAGCTAATACAAGTGTAGGTCATGATCGTCGATGATAGAGCAGCCATCATCGGAAGCGCAAACATCAACGACAGATCCCAGCTCGGCTCGCATGACAGCGAGATGTCAATCGTGATTGAGGATACCCACACCATCACCTCCACGATGGATGGCGCAGAATACCCTGCAGCTCGATTTGCCGCCACCCTCCGCCGTCAGCTCTGGCGTGAACACCTTGGTCTCCTTCCTCCGGAGACTCTCGACGCCTCGAATGACCCCAACGCGCAGCCCCCCAGTTGGGGCGAAGACGGAAGTCCCCCAAATGAATATGACGAAGGATCAAAAGAAGATCTTTTTGTCAGAGACCCGCTGGGTGATGAGGTCTGGGAGACTTGGACCGGAAACGCATTGAGAAACACCGAAATATTCAGGGAGCTGTTTCACTGTGATCCGGACGACAATATCAAAACCTGGAAGGACTACGACTCCTTCCTACCCCGAGGGGATAATGTGAAGAGCGGACATCTGTTTGTGGACGAAAAGATGATGAGTACCAAGGAGGTGAAGGCAAAATTGAGTCAAATTAGGGGCCATCTCGTATGGATGCCGTTGATGTTCCTGCAGGACGAGAAGCTGGACGAGCAGGGTCTGAGTGTGAACGCCTGGACAGAGAGCATTTACACGTAGCCGCTTAAGTGTGCCCAGTTTTGGAGGCAGAGTATTGGACGAGGATGTACATACAGATATACCATTTGGACGCCTGGTTGGTGAGACTTATGGCTTTGTTTTTCATTGTTTCTCATGCTGGGTCATGTTATCGCTGCCCATGTTCGGCATCTTGGTGGCTGTTTTTCTTCGGAGTAATGGACTGGACTTCGGTATGAATAATTTAATTCGATTTCTACCAGTATATGGAGTGCGCCGGATAGGGCTGCGATGGTAAATATGTAGGATGTATGTACCGACATGTTAGAGGGATCAAAATCAAGGTTGCACCTCGCTCAGGCGGAACTCAATATGGCGGATCCCTTTCTGTCCCGTACGAAATTCTCTGGAATTATTTTTTTCTACTGTAGGATCAACTTGCTATCCCGGATTTCTGCTAATACATAATCCCGTACATGATTTGGTGAATTATGGCCGTCAATGTCTCAGCGCCCCTAATCTGGGTCAGACATCGCTATCGCCACTGAGGCAGGGTATTAGTATTACTCGATGTTGCGAGTTGGTTCAGTTGAGCCAGCTTGCGGCGCTTATACATAGGTCAGCCCCAGGTAGTGATAACAAACTCGAGATTGAGAGCAAAACATGCGAATGGTCTCCTCGTCGACTTGAATACTACCTCAGTATCAAAAGGTCCACCAAGGTCGAGCCCTTTCTACGTGGCCGCCATGTGTTTTTCAAAGACAAAGAACTCTTCTTACGGGAAGGATCAATCTTCCTCACAGAAGAAGAACCTTATACCGCCGGCTAGGCCTGTTTCTCGCCCAGCTACAGCTACTAATGGATCCGTACGATCAACTGGAAAAACCAGAAAGGTGCCGGCTGCTCCCACTGCTCCCACAGCACAACCAGCCGTAAAAGTAGCCTCTCCAACAATATCCCTCAAGAGTTTACCAGCAGCAATTGTTCCCGTTACAGGTGGCCCGACAGAAACAGGGGCAACATTAATCAATCCATCACTATCTACTGTTACCACCACCCCAGCGCCTTGCCTCGCAGTTCCCAGCTCGGTCTTACCGTCGCAACCTCCAGGGGCATCGAGGGTCGTGCAAAGATACTTAAAGTTATTCATATTTCCCTGGTCAAGGCTAATGAGAAGTCTTAGTACATATAGTTCTCTTTGGAGGAGGCGCGCAACAGCAAAAAGTTGACTCGGGAAGAACTGGACAGCATCAATACTGATCAAGATATCAGGCAGGTGCTTAAGGAGCTCGTGGAGGAGATAGAGCGCAAGAAAAACGAGTGCGAGGATAAGCAATGGACTTATACAACTCGAGGAGGCGATAAGAGACTTGTGAGGGACTCTGTAAGTGCCTGTCTCACAAATTTAGCGAAACTAGTGACTGTAGGAGATGCGACAGTCGCCGCACTTCCTTCAATCGCGGCTGCTCCGTGGGGCGTCTTAAAATTCCTCTTGACGGTAAGTGAAGAGTAGGACGCAGGGGTTGATAGAATGCAAACCATAACTTTGAATTCATTTTATAGACCGTTACAGCAGGCGTGGATAACACGAGAATTATCCATGAAAGTATTGAAAATCTTTCGAGAGTCTTGAGTAACTGCAATATCTACGAGAGCCTTCTTATTGAAGGGTCAAGTCTTTTTTTTTTTTTTTGTTTAATCCATTAATTGCATGCAACCTTACCGTTATGGCAATAGCCTCTGAACTACCCGATCTCTTCCCCCTCCTCTCGAATGTATCTAACATAGGAAATGAAACACTAATGAATCGTCTCTTGTCCTATTCTTCATTTTCAGCGTCTCTCAACATTCCCCATCCATACCCTACTAGTTCTCTCCTCTCTTCTTCCGCATTTTCATCTTGTCCGTTTTCCTTGTATCTCCATCTCGTGAACTGTTTTGATATTTTGCTGCCTGCTTCGATAGCTCTGGCCTTCCAGAGAAGCCTGCTGACCGTATTGTAATCTTTATAGATTGCAGGAGTTGCAGCCTTCACATCGTACTTAGTAATTATGTGTTTTACGCTTTGTTCACCTTTACCGCATTTGCACTCAGCGCTATCCATCTTTCATATTCTCTTCATGTATTTGTTGATACTAGTAGCTATATGCCTTGTTCTGAGGCGGCTGATGATGAGTATGTTGGTTCAGTCTATGTTGTCGAATTTGAAGGAATTTCGTTGCGATGACTTACATAATGCTTTTTCTTTGTTTGCTTTTGTTTCCCATTCCGTTTCCCACTCTTTTACTGTTTTCTCCCGGGATTCCCTTTCTAGAAACGCGAATCAGATGAACCAGTCATTGTCAATCCTTCCTTTATTGATGGCTCCCTTGACTGCTTTATCTGCTTCTAGGTTCCGTTTTATTTTGTTGTGCCTTTTGACCCATTCTGTAACGGCAATATTGCATTTCGGCTAAGGTGATAGATTGGATTGGGAAGAGGAGGTATTGCGCGGTTGAACTATGATTTGTAATGGAGTTTCTGTTATGTTCCTTTGGTTTCCGTTACGCGAGGTATGAGTCATCAATGGACTAGAGGCTGGATATATAAAGGGGTGTTGTCTCGTGCCTTCTCATGTTTTCCTTCCTCTCCTTTTCTCTTCACGGAACTTCTTGTACTTACTCCACGAATACTACTTTGTTCTACGCCTCGTCATAGGGCTCAACTAGTTAGTCATACTAGGCAGAGCCACTCCATAGTCCACAGTCTCGAATACCTATTGCTACGTCTTCGCCTCGGTTGTATTCCTTGGCATCATAGTTCCTACGTCCATAGACCCCCGTTACACCAAGTTCCGTCCACTATTGCCAACCAATACAACACCATAGTCTACCATGACGACACATCTTCCTATTGATTACCAACAGCTAAGCGATGCCCTTCAGACCTTTTTTCAAGAACACCCAGAGGTGGATGGCAATGTTGGAATAGAAGCCTATGCACTTCTTCAACGGGCACAACATGGCCTTGCTCAGTATGCAACGGACTTACAGGAGGTGGAGAGGGAGGCTGGAAATGCGAGGGAAATGTTTGAACGAGATCTAGCCGCTGCCAGAGGCCACCGAGTTGCTGTTGAAGTGGTTGCCCCTGATGAAGAACCAATCGGAGAGGATAATGCCCCACCGGTACCTCCAGTCCCACCTGCCCCAGTGGTTACCCAACGATCGGAAAAACTCCCAGACCCTGAAGTATTTAGGGGAGATCGCGATCGAGAAAGACTACACCTATTTAAGCAACAGATGAGGATCAAGCTATTGGGAAATGCCGACCGCTTTCCCACACTACAGTCTAAGTTATCCTATGCATTCAGCCGATTGGAGGGTGTTGCCGCCAATCAGTTCTTACAATATGTCGGAGAAGAAGGCATCGCTTTGCCTTCCATGTTACGGTTTTATGAAATCTTGGATACTGCTTTCGGGGACCCTGATCGAATGCGTACGGCTAGGAGAAATCTTAGGAACATCCGTCAACGAAACCGAACCTTTGCTGATTACTTCGCCGAATTTCAACGGTATGCTGCCGAGTCAGGGATGGATGAAGTCTCTAGGATTGAGGCTTTGATGGAAGGCATTAATGCGGAACTCGATGAATCAATGATACACCATGAAACTCCTACGACGGTAGATGCATGTGCGACACTCTTGCAGCGGTTAGATAATCGACGACGAGCGGCAGAAGCTAAGCGAGGAAATAAAAAGCCTTGGAATGCTACTGCTGCTCCGACCCCTCGCCCCCCACCGGGGAATCCTGCCCCTATTCCTCGCACTGCCGCCCCAGCTGTCAATGCACCTGCCCCTGAAAACCATCCCTCGTTCCGCCCGGGAGGTGATGTACCGATGGATCTGTCCGGGGGACGTCGTCGCCCCACCCCTACCGAAAGAAACGCCCGCTTAGCTGAGGGCCGATGTTTCTATTGCGGAGGGGTCGGCCACATGGTTAGAGACTGCCCCCAAGCAAGAGCAACTGGAAATCAACCAAGGAGACCGGTGATGAGAGGAGCGGCATTGAGAGTAGAGGAAAATGATGGAAGCGATAACGAGTCGGCAAAAGATTTGTCCCTGCACTAAGTGGCTTAGCCCAGGACCATTTAAGGATTTTTCTGAAATGCATATTTCTGGTTTTTCGGTATCAGAGGAGGAAATGGATGGGAACCAATTTGTAGTAACTTGTTCAATTTCACAGAATAAAAACACTTTCGTACCCACCTACGCCCTTATTGATACCGGAGCCTCAGGATATGCTTTCATCGATGAATCTTTTGCACGCCACAACAACCTCACCATGACCCCACTCAAAATACCACGCCATGTAGACGTTATAGACGGCAGACCTATTAAGTCAGGAAGGATTACCCATATTGTTGATGTCTGGCTAGACATTCATGGCCATCGAGAGACTGCATCATGTTTTGTGACAAAGTTGGGACACTATCCGATTGTGATGGGGATACCTTGGATGCGACGCCATGACGTTACGATTCGGCCAAAGGAAAATTTACTTATCTTCGACTCTCAAAACTGCTGTCAACATTGCTCGCTTAGTGGAACTGCAATCACGGTTCATGGTATATCAATTCCCCTACCTGAAACTCATACCGTTACCGTCTCAACGATCGCAAAACCTACTATTGATATTAAACAACTAATACCGAAGGAGTTCCATTGCTATATCCATATGTTTGAAGAATATGACGCTACAGCGCTTCCGCCGCATCGACCGTTCCATGATATGAAGATAGTATTAGAAGAAGGCAAGCAACCACCATGGGGACCGATATATGCTTTATCCCAAACGGAGTTGAAGGCACTTTGGGACTACCTTCAAGAGAACCTACCCAAGGGAATTATCCGCCATAGTGAATCACCAGCGGGGGCACCTATACTATTTGTCAAGAAAGCTGATGGGACTCTTCGTTTATGTGTCGACTATCGGGGTCTCAATGCAATTACGATCAAGAACCGATACCCATTACCGTTATTGAAAGAAACCCTGACCAAATTGTCGAAAGCAAAATATTATACTAAATTGGATTTACGTTGGGGATATAATCAGATCAGAATAGCGGAGGGGGATGAATGGAAAACGGCATTCCGGACTCGATATGGACATTTTGAATATACGGTAATGCCTTTTGGATTAGCAAATGCTCCAGCTACATTTCAACATTGGATCAATGACATCCTGCGCCCCTATCTCGACCAACAATTTGTGACGGCCTATTTAGATGACATTCTCATCTATTCCGAATCCCTTGCAGAACACAAGGACCATATTCAAAAGATTTTAAAAGTACTTGAGGAGAACCATGTCCATCTCAAACCCGAAAAATGTGAATTTATGGTTCAAGAAACGAAATATCTCGGCCTAATCCTCACCCCAAATGGCAACAGAATGGATCCAAAGAAAGTTATTGACGTTCTGGAATGGTCCACACCGACGAATCTCCATGATGTTCAAGTATTTTTGGGATTTGCAAACTTTTATCGACGGTTTATTTTAGGATATTCGAGGATTGTCGCCCCACTTACAGCTCTAACGAAGAAAAATGTTAAATTCGAATGGACGAACGAAAGGGAGAAAGCATTTCAAACCTTGAAAGAAATGTTTACAACGGCACCTATACTAGTCCATTTCGATCCGAATCGAAAGATTGTAGTAGAAACCGATGCATCCGACTATGTTTCGGCAGGGATTCTATCACAATATGATGATGAGGGAGTTTTACATCCGGTAGCTTTCTTTTCCAAGAAACATTCCCCTGCGGAATGTAACTATGAAATCTACGATAAAGAACTTCTAGCAATCGTACGATGTTTCGAAGAGTGGCGACATCATCTAGAAGGAGCACAATCCCCTATTGAAGTTCTTAGCGATCACCGAAACCTAGAATATTTCATGACGACAAAATTACTAAATCGTCGACAAGCTCGTTGGTCTGAATTTCTTTCACGCTTCGATTTCGTTATACAATTTCGACCAGGAAAACAAGGAGCAAAACCGGATGCATTAACTAGAAGGTCAGGTGACCTACCTAAAGAGGGGGATGAACGGTTGATGCATCAGAGCCAAGTGGTTCTGAAGAGAAAAAATCTGGATGCAAAGCTAAGTTTGTTCGCGGGTTCTTTATCAAATGAATCCGCTGAAGGAATGTCCACTGTGGAGGAGTTATTTTCAAAAGCTTACCAAGTTGATAGTTTCCCAAACGAGATCCTCGTTATGCTTCGAAGCGATGTTCGTCATTCAAATAAAATTTCACTTGCCGAATGTACTGAAGACAACAACGGTCGGCTACTTTATCGAGGCGCACTCTACGTACCAAAGGACAATGACCTCAGGCTGAGACTCCTGAAAGAACATCATGACAAACCATCAGCAGGCCATCCAGGTAGAGCAAAGACCTTGGAACTTTTAAGTCGGGAGTATTATTGGCCACAAATGCGAAAAGATGTCGATCTATATGTTAGCAATTGCAAT